TTTTCGCGGTTTCGGTTCTCTATAATTTGAGATTTTCGCGGTATCGGCCGACACCGGGTCACGTGACGTCAGTGAGAATAGCACTAAGACACTTGGAAATAAATTCACAAATATTGTGTACATCTAAATTGGGTATGCATAAATGCCCACGTATCTAAATTTCCAAACTTTGAATAATTTATGCACCTTTATGCAAAAGAAACACGCGCAAGTTAAGAAGGTATCTGAAAAGGGTGCGGATCCATTTGGTCTCAGGTGAAAATGAACTGGTGCACTCCCCTTTCATAAAAAATCCGCCCTTGCTTGTACAGTGAAACAAGTCCAAGAGTCTGAATTCGTCTCCGAACACCCACAAATAATCACTCCCCTGAACCAGGGATACTCTACAAAAACATTTTAGTTATAAAACTATCACTATTACTTGCAAACACCTTTCAACTAAAGGTATATTTCCCTTCTGAAAATTAAACGAATATGTGAAAGAAGTTTTTAGCGATATAATTTAGTCTTTCTTCGCTGTGTACTGAGAATGAAGCCAGTGAGCTACAACATGCAGACTTGAAACTTTACAACAAATCTACTGTACTAATACTGACACTAATAACAATTATTTGACTTAAAATAAAGTGACAGAATAGGTAACTTATCTTCTACAGTTGTCACAACACTCAGCGTATGTAATGAGCTGTTGAAAATAAACCGGGCTCAATCTTAAAATCTACGCCGCCGACATATTGGCTACACTGGTCACGTGACGAGCCGAGGCATACGCTAAGGGGCTTTCCGAGGAGTGACCACTCCCCCTTATATAGTCTCCCTGCCTGAACACAGTAGTAACAGCCAAAGTCCATCTGGAAGAAGTCAGGATTGAGACGGAGGTTATGACGACTGGCTTCATCCTTGGTCAGCTGAAAGGCCGTAGTGTATGTAGCTTCGGTCTTGTCTGGCAGAAGGCAGTAGACTAGCGGGGATATCAGTCCCTGAATTTCAGCGTGGAGAGTGTAGATCAGCAGGAAGAATTTAGATGATGCGTAGGACGTTCCATCACCATGTATGACATCGGCTTTGCAGAGGTGTTCCAAGTTCCTCCTTGTACATAGCAAAGATGAGAATTGGGTCGTCGGCCGCATGATCTCCGATGAGGAAGTCCTCTCCTTCATCTGTATAGCTTCCCACTCTCCGTCCAGTCTAAGGTAACTCTTGACGAGTCTTTTGCCTTGCTCTATATGGCTGTCCTGACTGAAGAAAGCACGAGAATGTGCAGGAATCCACCCAAAGGGAAGATGTCAGGGATCTTTCTCAAGGCAGTCACTTCATCGTCATGAATGGTTGGGATGCGGCCAGTTTCATTCCTTGCCCGATCTAGTTGTATTGTCTGGAAGGCGTTATTGTTTTTTCAGGTGTGAATTTTAGGCTAGGTGGGCTGTAACCCTGTAAAGTACGTAGGTACACAACCACCCGTAACGGCATTATTGACTTCACACTTTACGTTGAGCGGTATGCAGTAAAATATTTTCTATTATATACTAGGCACATAAAGAAACTGTGCATACAAAAATTTAAAATGTAACTTTATCAAACCTGTGTAGACACATAAGGATTTAAACTCAGAGATTAGTGACATGTATCCAACATGCATGCACGTGCCACGTTCCGTGACGTCAGTGGGTTCGTCCTTGAGACGTGCAATACGTTGTTGCACGTGCATTCCGGGAAAGAGAAACAGAGCAAATGAATGTCACACAATACTGTCACTTTGGAAAGCTGAACCCCTGCCCTTGCGATCGTTAAAACAATTAAACGGCTATTGAAACGCATAGCATGCCAAGGCTCACGTCTGCACAACGTCAAGAGGCCATTGGGATGGTCCGTGGGGGAATGTCTCAACGACAAGTGGCTACACATTTCCACTGCCACCGGAACACCATTTCTGCACTGGTGAGACGCTACCAGAACACAAATGACGTCATCGATCGGCCACGTTCTGGACGTCCACGTGTAACAGCGCCAAGACAGGACATATGGATATGGGTGACCCATCTTCGCCACAGGTTTCAGACTGCAGTGATGACTGCCCGAACCATCCTAGGAGTTCGCCGTATCCACTCCAACACAGTTCGACAACGTTTACGTCATCACGGGATCAGACCACGACGTCCCGCCATACGGCCTATCCTGACACAACGTCATCGACAAGCTCGCCGAATGTGGTGCCGAAATCATGTCCACAGACCCTTGTTTTGGTGGAGAATGTTGTTTTTACAGATGAGTCCAGGTTTAACATTTCCCATAGTGATGGACGTCAACGTGCCTATAGACGCGTGGGAGAACGTTATGCACAGGCCTGTGTCTTGGAGAGGAATCGCTTTGGTGGTGGTTCCGTGCTGATTTGGGGTGGAATAACAGCAATTTTCAATTGAAATTCTCCCGACTTGTTATGGTCTCATGATCCCTCCATTAAAGTTTATATGTACCTTTGACATTGTTATCGTACTTATCAACTGGGATAATATTTTGACAATGCACAGTTTCTTTATGTGGCTAGTATATGTTGTTATTTTCTTCATTTGATCATCTTCGCTTAAAGAAGAATATTCCCAGGTTCCTTTATTTCTATAACATAGCAACTTCCGTCTTAATTAAGTACAAACAAAAAACAATAATGATTGTTACATCATCGATTGACGGGCTATATCTAACAGTGTAAAAACACCGTTATACCATTCAAAGCCTTTTGTCATACCGTTATTGATTTTCTAGAATTATTTTCAAAGATAATTTTTTTTTTTTCGGTAAATTTTATATTTTCAAATAAATATATTTGTCGAGTTTGTCATCTTTTTTGAATTTTAGATTTACCATCCCGCTCTTGTTTACCGACTCATAATGACTCCTGAAAAAAACTATCCATTCTAATCAATCCGTATTTTTATATTGTTTTTTGTAAGACGAGTTCACTCGGGAACCGGGGACAAATGCGTGATTGACTTTGTTGTTTGAGACTGTAATGATTTGGGTATGTAGTCATTTCGGAAGATAGGATCAGGGGCGGTGGGGTAGCTCGCTCGCCGCACCGAAGGCCCGGTTTCCATTCCCTAGATGGCTGGTGTCTCCCAACCATCCTTCCCTATAAGCTTTAAGCGGCGTAAAACCATACCCACACATTCACTCAGATACATCACGTCATTTCATTCATGACAGGGGCGGTGGGGTAGCCTAGTGGTTAAAGCGTTGGCTCGTCACGCCGAAGACCCGGGTTCGAATACCCACATGGGTACAATTTGTGTAGCCCATTTCTGGTGTCCCCCGCCGTGATGTTGCTGGAATATTGCTAAAAGCGGCGTAAAACCAAGCTCAGTCAGTCAGTCATTCATGACAAACGACCCACGTGGTCGGCCTCATTCGTTCATCCATTTTCGTCAGGGTGGATTAACGACTCGTGTCAAAACACATTCCAATTTTCGGCACACATCTGATATCGACAGCTTGTGAACTTCTGAAACCGACTTATTAGCGCAGAAGCAGAACGCGGCTTTATATGTGGCAAATATATAATATGGTATGTTTTGTCACCACAACCAATATTTACGCAGGCATGATATTGAAAAGGCCATCCTTCGAATGCTAACCCTGAGAAGGTCCAGGTCGCATTATTTGGTTAAAGTTGAGCTTCAACACTTAACGGAAATCAAAGGAAAAACTGTTGATACACGAGCGGGGGACAACAAAAACGGTTATGTGCAATAAAGGGGAAACTATCGAGAATGAAGAGTGAGTGCCGCTTTGAGCAATATTCCAGCAATATCACGGCGGGTGGCATCAGAAATGGGCTTCACACATTGTACCCATGTGAGGAATCGAACCCGGGTCTTCGGCGTGACAAGCGAACGCTTTAACTACGAGGCTACCAGTGAAGAAAACCTTATCAACACCATACCCAATGAAGTTAATGAAAATGTACATGGTTCTGCACAATGAAGTGCAAATTTTCAAGGCCTACACAATGAAATAAATGAAAACTATCACTCTGCAAAATGACGAAAACCTGTCACCACTATACACAATGACGTGAATATAAACTTTTGGGTCTACAAATATATTGTGAAACTACCAAGGTGAGGTGAAATTGGGTTTAACGTCGTGCTTGAGAATATTTCGCTCATATGTCGACGTGCATGCGTGTGTATGTGTATGTGCGGCTGCTTGTACTAGCCCAGACTGAAGCTGGTTTTATAGTGCTAGCTCACTGAGATACCATGCCGCAGTGAAGCATGAATACCCCACTCAGACACAGTATACTGACTCTGAGCCGACCAGTCCTTGTTGTACCCATTAATGCCGAGCGCCAGGCAGGGACCAACAAGTACCATATTTTAACGTCTTTTGGTATGACGCGGTCGGGGATCGAACCCGCGGGTCGCTCTCCGGGCGGACGCTCTAACCACTACACCACGGAGGTGGCCACTACCAAGGTTAGCATGATGTAGTGAAAGCTAACACCGCATGCACAATGGAGAAAGTACCTGTTATTACCTGCGGATTCCTTATAAAATGAATATTAGTTCATATTATGTGAGATAACAGTGTGTGTTACTCATTTCCTACAAGCGAGGCCCCACTATACGTGACGGTAGTGAGTGAGGGAGTTTAGTTTTACGCCGCACTCAGAAATATTCCAGCTACATGGCGGCGGTCTGTTGATATTCGAGTCTGGACCAGACAATCCAGTGATCAACAGCATGAGATATCAATCTACGCAGTTGGGATACGATGACACGTGTCATCCAAGTAGCGAGTCTGAACACCCAATCCACGTGACGGTAGTAGTAATAGTTGTCGTAGCAGCATCAGCAGTAGTAGTAGCAGTATAGACGTAGTAGCAGTAAAGACGTAGTAGTAGTAGTAGTAGTAGTAGTAGTAGTAGTAGTAGTAGTAGTAATGTGTAACCATCGGATATCGCAATAGTGAGTTAGAATCTACTGTAATATGCGAGTCGTTACCTGTATATAATGGACACTGTTGATTGCTGTACGACTCCCAGTGTAAGGTATCTCAAAATAACAACACCTGCCAAGTCCAACACCATCAACTGGTGTCATCCTGACCCCGTCCACATGCCTGGCGAGTGTCCTGTCACTACTGCCCCGCTCGCTTCACGTCGCATCATACCGTTACCACTCGGCTGTAGACCTAAGACTTTACATAGAACGATATATTTACTTGTATATCAATATTTGTGTGCGCCATGGCAACGCTATTTACATTTTTTACCACGGGATTTGTACTTCCATGTTTGGTCTGTGTCTGGTCGATGTCTGTTACATGGAGTTGCGAAGAAGGCTATAGATGTGTTGATTTTCCTAAGCGCCACATCGTGATCGGGTTCTGGGAGTAAATTGAACTGAATTGTTACACTGAATAGCAGGACACACAGCCTCTAACAGCTCTATAACGGCAGATCAATTATGTATCGAAGGAGCCCAAGGCAAACGTTGACGCGTACTGGTTGTGAAACATTGTGATATAAAGTACGCTGGAAAATGGGATTAGAATGTAAACACATACAAGACGTTTTTAGATCTAAATATGTTAAGGAATGTGTTTAAATGCTAGACAGAATACACATTAGGTTTGTCCTATCAAAACATAATTAAGGCCTGGACACATGACATGAGCTGACGTCTCAGTCCGTGGTTTACCTAAGTGGGGTGGTAATCAACAACGGGAATATGGTGTACTTAAGTGGGATGGTTGTCAAAGGTGTCTGTGGTGTATTTAAGTGGGATGGTTGTCAACGAAGGTGTCTGTGGTGTATTTAAGTGGGATGGTTGTCAACGAAGGTGTCTGTGGTGTATTTAAGTGGGATGATTGTCAACGAAGGTGTCTGTGGTGTATTTAAGTGGGATGGTTGTCAACGAAGGTGTCTGTGGTGTATTTAAGTGGGATGGTTGTCAACGAAGGTGTCTGTGGTGTATTTAAGTGGCATGGTTGTCAACAAAGGTGTCTGGTGTATTTGAGTGGCATGGTTGTCAACGAAGGTGTCTGTGGAGTATTTAAGTGGCATGGTTGTCAACGAAGGTGTCTGTGGTGTATTTGAGTGGCATGGTTGTCAACGAAGGTGTCTGTGGTGTATTTAAGTGGCATGGTTGTCAACGAAGGTGTCTGTGGTGTATTTGAGTGGCATGGTTGTCAACGAAGGTGTCTGTGGTGTATTTAAGTGTGATGATTGTCAACGAAGGTGTCTGTGGTGTATTTATGCGGGATGGTTGTCAACGAAGGTGTCTGGTGTATTTGAGAGGCATGGTTGTCAACAAAGGTGTCTGTGGTGTATTTAAGTGTGATGATTGTCAACGAAGGTGTCTGTGGTGTATTTAAGTGTGATGACTGTCAACGAAAGTGTCTGGTGTATTTAAATGGAATGGTTGTCAACGAAGGTGTCTGGTGTATTTATGTGGGATGGTTGTCAACGAAGGTGTCTGGTGTATTTGAGAGGCATCGTTGTCAACAAAGGTGTCTGGTGTATTTGATGCGGGATGGTTGTCAACAAGGTGTCTGGTGTATTTGAGAGGCATGGTTGTCAACAAAGGTGTCTGGTGTATTTGAGTGGCATGGTTGTCAACGAAGGTGTCTGTGGTGTATTTAAGTGGCATGGTTGTCAACGAAGGTGTCAGAGGCATGGTTGTCAACGAAGGTGTCTTTGTATTTGAGGGCATGGTTGTCAACAAAGGTGTCTGGTGTATTTGAGTGGCATGGTTGTCAACAAAAGGTGTCTGGTGTGTATTTGAGTGGTCAACATGGTTGTCAACGAAGGTGTCTGTGGTGTATTTAAGTGGCATGGTTGTCAACGAAGGTGTCTGATGTATTTGAGTGGCATGGTTGTCAACAAAGGTGTCTGGTGTATTTGAGAGGCATGGTTGTCAACAAAGGTGTCTGTGGTGTTTTTGGTCAAGAAGTGATGATTGTGTATTTAAGTGGCATGGTTGTCAACGAAGGTGTCTGTGGTGTATTTAAGTGGGATGGTTGTCAACGAAGGTGTCTGGTGTATTTGAGAGGCATGGTTGTCAACAAAGGTGTCTGGTGTATTTGAGAGGCATGGTTGTCAACAAAGGTGTCTGGTGTATTTGAGAGGCATGGTTGTCAACGAAGGTGTCTGTGGTGTATTTAAGTGGCATGGTTGTCAACGAAGGTGTCTGTGGTGTATTTGAGGTGGCATGGTTGTCAACGAAGGTGTCTGGTGTATTTGAGTGGCATGGTTGTCAACGAAGGTGTCTGGTGTATTTGGTGTATGGTTGTCATGGGTGTCTGTGGTGTATTTAAGGTGGTTGTCAACGAGAGGTGTCTGTGTGTTGTTTCTGGTGTATTTATGTGGCATGGTTGTCAACGAAGGTGTCTGTGGTGTATTTGGTTGTCAACGAAGGTGTCTGGCGATGGCATGGTTGTCAACGAAGGTGTCTGGTGTATTTGATGTATTTGAGAGGCATGGTTGTCAACGAAGGTGTCTGGTGTATTTGAGAGGCATGGTTGTCAACAAAGGTGTCTGTGGTGTATTTAAGAGGCATGGTTGTCAACGAAGGTGTCTGTGGTGTATTTGAGTATGGATGGTTGTCAACAAAGGTGTCTGTGGTGTATTTGAGATGGCATGGTTGTCAACAAAGGTGTCTGTGGTGTATTTGAGAGGCATGGTTGAAAACATTCCAGTAGTATCATGACAGAACAGCACCACAGATTGTACCCATGTACCTTAAACCCATGCCTTTCACAAGACAAGTGCAAACTCGACCACAACCCAGTTGAAAAGTCAAGACACGGGTAAAATCTGGTCGTCAGAAACCACGTTTGTTGCAAAATCTAAGATCAGGAGCTCAGACTTGCTGTTTTGGTTGATGCACAGGGCAACACGTGTCCGTCACTGGATAACCTGGTTATGAAGAGAATCTTCACAGATTGTCAGTTCTGAGAGGAGCATTAAACATAACGGAAAGCATGATACAGAATTAATTATTTGTTTGTTGTTGAACACCGAACTGAGCAATATTCCAGCTATAAGACGGTGATCTGTAAATAATCAAGTCTGACCAGACAATCCAGTGATCAACAACAAGAGCATCAATCTGCATAATTAGGATACGATGACGCATGTCAACTAAGTCCTTGATTCTGACGCCACAGTCCAGGTAGTTGCCTCTTACAACAGAATTCATGTAGTCCATACACAAAGACAACAAAAGCCACGTTGAGTTCATACATCTCAGTCTTTATGTCATCCCAGCAATTGACGACCTCACAGTGGGTAGTACAAATACAATGTTATCTTTACAAATTGGCAAAACTTGTATCACAGTGGATAGTTTGAGTAGGGCCGGCATCACAGAATTTCTCACTTCCACGAAAGACAAATAAATATTCTATCATAAAAATATCCTAGGAATGAGATGGGCTTGTTCTGTTGAAAATTAATTCAGTCGTGTGTTTAGAACAAGCATGGAATCTGATTGACTTTCATTCTGCAGTCAACATTCTGAGATCTGATCATGTTAATCAAATACAAAGCAGAAGCAACAAGCTGGCCAGGTCTGTAGATAGACATCATTGACCATGCTTCAGCTGGACTAAACCCAGTCTTCAACCTTTCTGATTTTCATGCAATGTTTGGATTTTATTCTTACATTTGACATAAAAACATTCTTTTGAACTATGTGGCGAAAAGGAACTGTCAAACCATTTGTCTTCAGTAATGTAATTCTGAAACAGAACTTTATACAGATTATAAACCACATATTTGAAAAGAGTATTTTTATGTCACCTAATGAAGATGATTTTCCTCATATTTGGATCCCCCCTACTAAATGAACAACTGCCCAACATTTTAACAACGCTGATAAATTCACGTGGGACTAGAGCTCAGTCATACTGGAGGAAAGCACTTTGTCTGCTGCAGCTACGCCATGTATATACGAAGAACCTGATGTACTGATGGGTCTGTAAGGCTAGGGATGCCAGCCCGAGTAAGGTACTTGACACGTGCCTCTAGCACTCCACTGAAACACTTCAGACAGAGCTGGAAGGAAGCAACATCATTCAACAGGAAGCACCTACAGCCGTTCCACAAAGCACTCGGACACCTGTCAAATTGAGCACTTCCTTCAAAACAAATACTGTTCAAAGGGCATTTAAAACAATGTTGTTCCAACAAATAGCACATGTGATGCTTATATAGCACTGTTAATCACTTCTTCTTGAGCTGAAGCCATGAGCGGCCATTGTTTGGGGTCCAGTTGAGGACTGGTGTTGTCAACTGATGTTCCAGGCACACTCCTTTTCCCTCACAGGTTCTGGTGAATTTCAGTGATTGAGGAGGGGTGGTCACCTGGACAACTGTCACTATGACAACCCCTCGATCAGATCTGAACTGCGAACACTCTCCTTTCGCACGTGACAATCTCTCTTTGCTGAGATGAAGCATTCACTCGCGCAATCGTTCATCATTCAGCCATAGGCATAGGAGACCGTCGCGGTCAACATGGTAGTAGTCATAGGCAGACCAAGACAGCTGCCCTCTCGCATCAATTTCATCTGGAAAGAAAACAAAATAATTAAGTTACATCATCCAGAAACACATAGAGAAATTGCAATGTTGGTGTTTGAATATTATTTTCCACTACAGTACTGGACCGGATAAAAAGCTTTGGACTTTATGCTGATGAGCAAAATAATTCCAATATATTCCCAGGTTAGCTTAATGTAAGAGCAAAGCCCAAAATACACAAATTTAATATTAACCACTTGCTTCAAACCCAAACCACTTGCATGGTACTGAGAACCAACTTTCAATCAATGGTCATTGGATCAAGGCACCTGTGCAGCAAACTGATCTGTTCAGACAGTTGGCTACCAGCGTAATCACCATAGTAATGTCAGGAACTTACGATGAAGCATTCTTCATTTTTCTAATTTCCTTAGTCGCCCATGTAGCCAGGGTTTTGGCCTTTGTTAGTTTGGACCTCCTCCCCAGTGTGAGGAGGTTCTGGATGCTCTCCTTCTCAACCATTGGGAGCATGCTGTTGCCAAATGCTGTACTCAAGTCACTGCCGACACAAATACACAGGGATCACCCTCACAAAAAAGACATGCACATGTGCCTACACTGAATAGAAGCAATAGTTACAAGATAAAGCTACTGTGTTTTCAATTTTGGGTCCTTTAAAATAAGAAATTTTCAACAACATAAATGCTGTATTTCAGGAACCATTATGCTTGTATTTGTAAGAAGTAGCATACACAAATAATAATATGGTTTGCGCTGGAAAGGGCAAGGGAGGTAGCTCGTGGGTGAGTGTATTTATAAGTCCGTTCGGGAACTTCAAGGGATTCAAGTGTTCCACTACCATTCGAAAGGGAAAGGGAGATAAGCAAAAGATCATGAGTCAGGATAAGGAAAAATTACAGTTTATACTGTGAGCAAGTACAATTATTTGATTTTTCTAAAGCGAATTATTGATCTCCCCTACTGTATGACAATCGACTCGCCCCAATTCAAGCCGTGAACTCGCTAAGTGTAGTCGCCGCTAACTTTATTCACGGAAATAATTGTTGATAACCACCCTACTATTCCCAATTTGGAAAAGACCTGACATGCCATGTTTTATGTGGGATACATGGACAGTGGAAGTGGAAGGACTGGGCATTACGGCCGGGACGGAAGCGGTCACGTTAGGAAGTGTTGGCCGATGTGTGTTGTCGGCGTCATGCCCGCTAGATCTGTACCCAGTTTGAATATATAGTAACGAGCAGAAAAAATGCGACAAAAAACTTTATTCTGTAGACTCGATCCTACTATCAAAAAAGCCGAAATACATTGTTTCTAGCCGTCAGTAGCTTGCCTCGTTGGTATGGAATTATCTCCCTTGGGTTCAGGGATGGCTTGATCACATGACCTCACTGCTAGCAGAAGATACCGAAGCTTTGCCATGACGTTACAAAACAACAGGAATCGACTCTTGGCATATCATGAAGCAGGAATTACATCCGTAACTCGACTTGTGAAACTGACAGGACTGCATCGGGCCTCTGTTTACCGAAATTTGAAGAAATTTGATGCAGGGTTAGGGACAGAGCGACAGGCTGGATCGGGACGTCGTGCTACTCTTGGGGCAAATGACAGACGACGTATCGTGCATCTTGCGGCAGCTTACCCAAACTGGTCTGCAAAACAGCTTGCCGTGAAACAGCAGTGCATCGAGAGAAACGGTGGACTAATAGACTATTGACTTGCATAAATGTAAACTTCAGTATCCAGAGTGGATGTATGAAAAATATAACTTAATTTATCAGTAAATAAATTTTGAAACTACGTCTGTGAAAAGTCGCATTTTTACTGCTCATTACTGTACTGCCGCTTTTGCGCTGCGGATGGATTTTCCAGCTTCATAGTTTCTTCACTGGGATTAGGGTCAAGAAATTCTTCTTCAAACCATTCGCTTTTCACTTCAAAAACACCAAAGATGCTGCCGAGGTAGAAATTGCCGGTGTCCGACATGTTTGTTTACAAACAATAGGGTCAACGAGTTCATTGTATTCATACGCGGTGAATCGTCACTTTAATTAGCGATCTTAAACTGCCATTTAAGTACGGTTTTGATGAGCTCTCAGCCAATCAGAATCGAGTATCACACCATGACGTGCTAGAATATCTTGTACAACTTACCGAAAATTAGTAATTATTTCACAAATGTTCATGTACTCTACAGTTCATCCAGCAGAGGTTGAACATGACTTCTATTGAAGGAAACAGCTGTCTGACTTACCCTATAAGCCCACAGCAGGCAGCTATATTACTGTCTGTCTTATCCTCGTCCACCGCTATGTGCTCGATGAAGGAAATCATGTGTGCAACATGAGGCTGTAGAATATTCACCTCAGCTGAAACAAGACAATACATTAACAGACAAGAAAATGTGTTTGTTACATGACGATACAACCTTTGCCAACACCAAGAAAACAGACATCGACAGGCGATTTGTGAATTTCATTTACAGCAGCAGTCAGCAATATTGTCACAGATGTTAATGATCCGAATCTGGCTTGGAGTATGTTGGGGTTTGACCTCAATGTGGAAGCTGTGGTGGCTGAGCAAGGTTAGACGGCTGACATTGTATGTTGGCGATTAGGTGCCTGACTCTGGGTGTGGGTTTGAATCCCGGATGAAACTCAGCCTAACAAAGTACTAGCACCTGTAATCCTAAATAAAATGTATTCTACAAATGAAGTTAAACTAGGATATAAACCAGGCATAAGTTTATGACTAAGGAACATTTCTGTGAGTTAACCAGGGTTCCAGCAGCTGTCTCAATAACAGTGATAACTTACAACTGATTTGTTCTCCATCTCCTTTCAATCCCTGCACAATTCCAGTATAGGCCTCCAGGCAGCCTTCTCTCAGTTCATTCAGATAGTCAATCATGTCATAGTCGGTCTAAAAAGATAATACCATCAAACTCTTAATAATAGAATCACATGGTGTGTTGTTCAGTTGTTGATTACACTTAAAAATATTCCAGATATAGTACACTTAAAGGACAGTGGTATGGAAATAATCAAGTGGGGAGCAGATAATCCTGTTACTGGACATTTTGAGCATCATTCTAAACACTTGCGATATGACATGATCTGGTGAGCGAGTCCGACACCTGATCTCATTAGATATCCATCTCTATCAATGAAGGATAGCAAATGATCAATATAGGTTGGATCTGAATTGGCTGTTGTCAGCAATGTTCCTAACATAACATGGTGGCTTGCATGTAGGAGCACATAGACATGGATAACCAATAATTTGGTGTACCTAATGTGCCACTTTGGATCAATATTTGAACAATATTTTAGTCACATGCAGATCGAGATGACAGATATTGTCATCCATTGTATAAACATCCACCTGGCTTCCTATCAGTTGCATAAGCTCTAATTCAGTCCTTGTATGTCACCCTACTGGCTTCCTATCAATTTACTCAATCTCTCATACAAACTTTGTACATCAACCTCATCTATTGTATAGACAACTCATTCCCTATCTACTGTAACAACAACTCCTGTATATATTCTCTCAATTTGTTATTCATGTATCACTTGCTTGACAAAGACATTAGAACCTATGTCGAAACGTACTTGCTTTTTAACAACATTAGAACCTATGTCGAAAAGTCGCCTCCACAAAATAAAAGAAGTTGTATATCCATAATAATTGTTATTATTCTTCATTAACTCAACTTCTAAAATGCCCATCAAAGAAGTGTTCTCATGTTGCTGCAAGTGTTAGCACTTACCTTATCAACTTGAGCCTGGGATGCCTGTTGTAGGGTACCAAGTACAAACTCAAGGTAATTTCGGAACTGTGGGCCAATGGCAAGAGCTATATCGCCAAACACTGACAGGATTTGTGGTTGACAGATCGGTGTACACTTTCGTTCTGGAACATGAAAATGCCAGAATAACAGCAACAGTTGGACAGCAGAATCACAGTTTGCAGTGTTAATTAGAACACTGCATACCAAAAATATTGTCAACATCAGACTTAAAAACTTAAAACTGTTTCCTCTGAATATATCAGTTTTACCACCACAATCATCTCAGAAATACTAATAATAGGATCATTGCGTATCACTCCAAGAAAGGCAATTGAACTCATCACAGATGATTGTGGAGGAATGAGAGGGTTTTGGGATCATATTCATGCCAACACTTATGGTCACTACATGTGAGCATCACAAATGATACACGTGTGATGAACAGTTTGCCAACATACAACTTAGGCAGATCCTTATTTCTACAGCTGACATTTTGTTTCATTCGTCGTTTAGTACAATACTCAACGATAATCCAGCTTCATGATGGTGGTAAATAAGTAAGGACCAGATTATCCAGTGCTTGATACCGTGAATGATGACCAAGCAAATGGTGTACGTTGACACAAGATCGTACATTTGACTATCAATTTGGTTACCTCTTATATCCGTCACCAGTTAATGTGGATGTACACCAATTCCCAAATCCTAACAGGGAGTCAAACTAGCAGAGTCGGCAGTATTTCAGTAATATCAGTCAAAGGCAAACCTGAAGTGATGCCGGTCTTAGACATTCACCACAAAGGAGACCCCAACAAGCTCACGATGGTGATGGAAACATTACCACAATCATCTCAGAAATACTAATAATAGGATCATTGCGTATCCTCCAAGAAAGGCAATTGAACTCATCACAGATGATTGTGGAGGAATGAGAGGGTTTTGGGATCATATTCATGCCAACACTTATGGTCACTACATGTGAGCATCACAAATGATCTGCGATGTGATGAACAGTTTGCCAACATACAACTTAGGCAGATCCTTATTTCTACAGCTAACATTTTGTTTCATTCGTCGTTTAGTACAATACTCAACGATAATCCAGCTTCATGATGGTGGTAAATAAGTAAGGACCAGATTATCCAGTGCTTGATACCGTGAATGATGACCAAGCAAATGGTGTACGTTGACACAAGATCGTACATTTGACTATCAATTTGGTTACCTCTTATATCCGTCACCAGTTAATGTGGATGTACATCAATTCCCATATCCTAACAGGGAGTCAAACTAGCAGAGTCAAACAAAGTGCACCAAACACTGCTCTTGACAGTATTTCAGTAATATCACAGTCAAAGGCAAACCTGAAGTGATGCCGGTCTTAGACATTCACCACAAAGGAGACCCCAACAAGCTCACGATGGTGATGGAAACATTCAGGGATAGCTAACATAACCAGTAATTATAGCTTTCCACCAGAGGGACATATCTGGGCTTCATATGTCCCCTCAAAAGGGCATTGAACCTACTGCAATACAGTTATACTACAGTGGAAATAACTTCAAACATGTTATATTGGCATTTGTCTGACAGATATATCATCAATGGAAAGAATATGGCCTGTCAAAGGTACTTTGGTTATCATCTTACTAAGAAACTTAATCCTCAATTTCATTTGTGGCAAATTATATAAACCTTAGTTAAATACAAACTGTAAAATTATTACTTGAAATGTGTCAAGACACCACAGTCATCTCAGAAAGACTAATAATAGGATCATTGTGTATCACTCCAAGAAAGGCAATTGAACTCATCACAGACGACTGTTGTGCTGACATTTACCAGTCAGAAGGAAGAATGTAGATGGAGGCATCTTGATACAGAGCACCCTACCCATAACCATAACCATATACATAGATCACAGGCCTGCAATATCCTACCAGTTAGTTAGTTATTCAGGTCATGATCAGCAACATTCCAGCTACGTGAAGACAGCATGTAAAATGGATCAGAAACTCCAGTGATCACTGTTATGAGGAACAATCCACAGGGTATGATGACACACAGACAACCAAATTACCAACCCATGCCCTCTCACAACCTCAAGCCTTGGTGGCAACACAGTCCAATCTGGAATTTCTATTGTTCTTGAACTTAGAAATCAATGTCAATAGCACCAGCCCATACTTAGTAAGAACAATATTTACTTTTAAGGGACGTTCATAACTTATGGCTTGGGTGTGCGAGTGTGTGATGATGATGATGATGATTTCTATGGAGAAGCATGTACGATGTGAATGACCCCCCCAAAAAAATTTATATACAAAGTAAGTGACCCCCCTGCATGTCATGTACAAAATCAATGACCCCCCTTTCCACATTTTTTAAGCATAACTTTTAAACATTTTCATGTACAAATTTGCTGACCCTCCCCAAGAATGTGTGTACAAAATTTATGCCCCCACCTCCCCAGAACAAAATGGGTGAACCCCCCATCATTAAAACACACACCCCCAAATCATCATTAAAACACCCCCTTACCCCAAGCCATAAATTATGAACGGTCCCTAAAAATAGTCACTACAATCACCTCAGAAAGACTAATAATAGGATCATTGTCTATCACTCCAAGAAAGGCAATTAGATTCATCACAGATGATTGCAGTGAGTTCCAATGTAATACAAAATCCAACCAAGTACAGCCTTAAACATTTGACCCATTACTTGATTTACTGCTACAGATACTGACCCACAATAGAACCTGACAAAGTCAGAGGCGGGTACACAGGTTCAGGCATCACCAGTAAGTGTGTACTTACTCGGAGGTTCTCCATAAGGAGCAGCATCAGGTCGTTGCAGTATGGAAACACCTTGTTCCCCAGCGCCCGACACAGGTCTCCCACGAGACCTACTGCTGCCACACACACCTACAGATGCAAACAGAATTGATAACCATTAAAAATGTCATTATGTCCTCTGTGTGAAACAGCTGTCATGTTTGAAATGATCTACTGAGATATCTACCTACCATATACAAATTAATTCAGGATACTGAGCACTTCAAAGACTCAAACTACAAATATGTGTAGTGTAAAAGACATAAGTAAAGTATTGCAGGGCTCCAGATAATTTTTCAACATCAGGAGTACATACTCCTTATTTTTTTCAATACAGGAGTACTGGAAAACCTTAAGAGCACTGAATGGAATTTAATGGAGTATCAGTAATCTTGTGTTTCATTTCATATATGCACCACAACATTGCTACTCTTGTGTAAACAGGTCAATAAACAATAAAACAAGAATTTTCAAATAAATACATCTGTAAATGATTCTAAGACCGTACACCATTGCTGTGGTGCGTATCTGCTGTTTTCTAAATTATTTCCTCCCGTATTGTGCATATTTTTCATCCGTACATACGCCGATATGCCCTAATCTGCAGCCCTGGTATTGTACAAGTTCACAAACCAAAAAATAACAAGGGCAAACTGAGTTTCATTCACGGATTACTGACCAAGGGAAGCAACTCTGCAATGCTGTCATAACTGACAATACCAACACCACATTCTGTTCGACCCACCCACCTGGTACTCCTGGTAGTTCTTCAATCCTATTGTCAGGTATGGCTTGAATGCTTCCATGTACTTCTCAAAACCATCACCAAGTACTGGAACAAAACACAGGTATAGAAATCAGCCAAGCAACACACAAAGCAAGTGCATTAACAGACAACAGTTCTGCGTAGATTTTGAAGTCACAACATATCAACAACTAATAGCAATTATTCAGGATTCTTCACAATGAAATTTGTAACAAATACTCATTTTCTCAACTACTGGAACCACATTCTGATAGAATAGAAACACTGGATTTTATCCTGTGCACACAGGCACACATCTACACACCAAGGCCCTAGGACACAGAGTAAACTATGTTTAAAAGGAACACTCTCATAACAAAATGGACAGGACTACTTTTGTTTATCAGCCACAAACTGAAAATTTTATTCAAAATGCATATAACAAACAATGTTTACAATAAGCTAAACTTGGGTTGTTTTTTCGTCATTACCATAGTATAATGTGAGTGAATAAGGATGTTTTTACGCCACTTTTAGCAATATTTCAGCAATATCACGACGGGGACACCAGAAATGGGCTTCACACATTGTACCCATGTGTGGGGAATCGAACCCGGGTCTTCGGTGTGACGAGCAAACGCTGTAACCAATAGGCTACCCCACAGCCCTAGTATAATGTACAATGACAGAAAATTGTGGTGGGTCATCGTTAACCCTGACAAGCAACAGCCCAGAAGATACCACTACAAACAGTGGAGTTCAGAGAACTCTTCCTGGACACTTCCAGACTGAAACTCGTCATGATGTCCCACACATACCTTCCATTAGCGTGGACACGGCATACAGAGCATCCTCCTGAACACCGCCTGCTTTCCCTGCCGTCATCTGGAACATCTGCAGCAGTGCCGTCATGATCTGATCCGATATCTTCGGAGCATCATCTTGAGTTACTTTTCTAAGAACACTCTGCAAACAAGAGCAGTGTCATTGACATGTGTGCATAATATTTTCATCTCAACCTGCTTGAGACAAGCTCACCTCCTGTTGAGGCGACGTTTAATTCGTCCTGAAATAGTGAGTGAATGAGTATGGTTTTACAGTCCTCTAAGCAATATTCCAGCAATATCATGGTGGGGGATACTAGAAATGGGCTCCACCTATTGTACCCATGTAGGGAATCCAAACCCGGGTCTTCAGCATGAGGAGCAGAAGCTTTAACCACTAGGCTACCCCACTACCCCACGTCCTGAAATAGTGTACTGTGGCTGACTAACCATATGCTGGCTGTTGGACTTCATCAATTTGATGGTAAACTGTCCCTGTCTATCAACATACCTAAATCAGTGAAGACAAACTCACCTGCAGAGTGGCACATAGAAGAGACTGTAGGTCATTGAATTGAACACGGTCGGATGAGGACTGTACAGAGCCCTGGAAAAATCAATGCAAATATTGGTGAGCACATGAATTGATGGTTGTTTTTGACAGTTCGTACAGTTATGGGGTCCTGAAATTGTTATCAAACTTTGTGGGTATTTCTTGAACGCCAAAATTAACACAGAATTGCGAAGCAAAATGAAACAACAATTGTGCTGAATACTGTAAGTAACCAGTTTTCTGAACACTGATTTCTCTATCCTGATTAATTTTCTTGAAGTGAACTCTTGAACTCACCTCCATAGAGAGGACTCTCTCTAGTCTTTCTAGTATAATCATGGTGGTCTTCTGAACTGTCAAATAGCAGTCCTGGACAAAATAAACACATGTGCAGTTACCTAACAATGAACACTTTACATGATCTGTTTGATGTACCACACTGAATAATATGCAAATTTACACTGTGGACTGTTAGTGCGTGAGTGAGAGAGTATGGTTTTACGCCGCTTTTAGCAATATTCCAGCAATATCATGGCAGGGGACACCAGGAATGGGCTTCACACATTGTACCCATGTGGGGAATCAAACCCGGGTTTTAGGCGTGACAAGCGAACGCTTTACCACTAGGCTACTCCATCGCCTGTGCACTGTTAAAAATCATTTGACGCCTTTGGAAAATTGAACCATTATGCAAACTGTCATTTGTCCACCTGCCTTACAAGCAGAATTTAAGACATCCTTGATGAGTACTTACTTAAGCTATAAGATTCAAGTTAACTGTCTTCCTCGGTAAAGGTCTATTCCTGATCTTTGTAAACCAGTGTTACTTCACTTACCTTGGGACTATTCTTAACTAATTCCATTAGAGCTTCATAAGCTGCATTTCGTAGATTGTGCTGGTTGCCGTCAGGTCTAAGGAACAAATAAAAGGGCCACACTGATGGATTTGACTACATTCCTTGATCCATATATAAAACAGCCCCATCAACAAAAGCCCCAGAACTTTACAGGAGACTTCTCTCAACCCTCATGGACTTGATGATTTGGAACAAGATGAAAAACATCACTATGAAGACGAATTTCAGTAACATGGCCTGACATCTTGATGTATAGGGAAAGTGTGAAGTGACGCAGACTCGCCACCTACTGAAACCTCAGAGCATGGGTATGGTCCAGATTAATCTAGACAAAATAAGAGTCAACGTGGACTGTGACAACTGATTGCAGGCTTCTGGAATGCTCAAGGGACATAACTCTCCAAGTTTGCTGCCTCAAGGCTGACCACACACACAGAAAACCCTGAACATTCTCACAAACAGCGAAAGTCAATACCCCGACTACATCTGACAAATGATAGACAATTTGATGCTACTGTTAAAGTACCTGTCTGTTGTCTGTAGTAACTGTTGTACAATTTGTTCAAAGGATGCAGACAGACAGTAGGTTTCTGGTTCAGCGTTCTCATCAGCTGTTTCTGCATTCTCAAAAGCAGCTTCAGCAAGACTGGAAAAGGCCTGTAGAAGAAAACAGTCAAGTTAGTATAGCCAAAACATTTGAACAATTATTACTGGCTCTTGTACTGTTTCTTTTCGGCATATCGTGCTTGCCAATTTTGGTTTCACTTTACAGATCAGGAGGAACTCTTGTTTTACTATGCAGAGTTCCAAATCAATCACAAAGTTAAATTTGACCTTATTGTTGCAACAAATAGCATCAAATGAAAAAGAAGTGTATGTTTTCAGTGTTGGTCACCATTACTTCTGATAGGAATGTCCTGATCAGGAATACTGATCTATTGATTTTTGTATCAGCCTACTTAATATTCAGCATTAAATGTAAGTTTTGTTTTTTCCCATTTTCACCAAGTACGTATATAAAAGTGTGATAGGAATGATGACATTTGTTCAAATATAAACCTGACATACTGAGATAAATTTTGTGAATCACAGAAAGATCCATCAGAAGTGGAGTAATATATAGCAATATGTTGTGATACTCATGGGGTCTACAGAAGGTAAGAGTGAAATATTCACCATTGACACAATCATCTCAGAAAGACTAATAATAGGATCATTGTCTATCACTCCAAGAAAGGCAATTGAATTCATCACAGATGATTGACGATGAAAATATATGTCAGTGTTCCTAATGTTTCATTAAGTCAAAGGGGTTAAATCCTCATTGTATTTCAGATTAAAGTGGAATGAAAGCTGAGAGAGGAAAGTCATACTTATTTACTCCATTGGTCAAACCCACGAGCACTGGCATAGTATGTTGAAACAAGAAGCAGCAAGTTTAATTCGGGAATAAAAACCCAAACCCTTAATTCTGGTATGACTGACATGTGCAGGGGTGGAAATAACCCATTGCCCGACATCCGAGTCCAGTGATGTTTTCTGTCGGGCAAGCTAATTTGTATATCACACTGTACCGGTGTCCAGTTGACTTTCCAATGTTAATTATGTTGTTTATTTAAAAGATCAACAAGAAAATCGGCCAGTATAGTGGAAAAATTATCAGGGCAAGTGATTTTACATGTGCCACTGTACCAGAGTACACTAGCAATTTTAAAGTTATTTCCACCCCTGGTGTGCACAGTAAAGTGTGGTCCTTTGGACAATAATGGTACACTGAACATGTGGGCCCCAAACTACAAAACTGTGACCCCATACAACAGAGGTGGGACACTTTACTAGATACCAGAGCTAAAACCCAGACATGAGAACGGCAAACCACTAAAAATGTATCGTTTTTTTTATTGCAGATTTACATCGATCTCATAAAGTTCAAAATAAAACAAAAATCCTAGAAATCTGCGGGAAATTCTCATGTCTGAAAACCCAAGGACCTGAGGCATTTATCAGATCTGAACCAAATGCCCTTTATTTCAATTTTGTGCATTTTCATTGACTTTTTTAGACAAATGTGTGGCATTCCTTACCCAACAGACATTGCTGGCAACCCGTGGTTCAGCAGACAGGCCCTCCACCAGAGCTTGTAACAATGTAGGCAGGTGTTCATTAATGACAGCATCAGGCAAGATCTCGCAGACTCGTCCCACTGTCCATGCTGCTGTGTCTCGTACGACTACACTGGGGTCTTTCAGCAGCGAGATCAGCTTGGGCATTGCGTGTTCCACTATCTGTTTCAACTTGGCAGGATCTGGGCCCTCCAAAATGGAGCCTGAAAGGTTGGTTGAAGCATATCATTTAGGTGTACAAACATGATAATGAAAGTTGGGACTGTGAAAATCAGCGAAACTGTTAAAAATAGTTTCCAATGAACAATATGTATTTGCGCACAATTCTAGCAATATTACAGCAGGGTGCAGCAGAAATTGGCCTCACACATTGTACCTATAATAATGACAAGCGACTGCAGTTAACCACTAGGCTACCCCACTGCATTGTTGAAGATTAATTCCAACCTAGAGTCCCCCTTGTTAATATCAGTTATTGAGCATTCTGGCTTATATACTCAAGGCCTTATGAGATTGTCTTTCAACAATAATTGACAGGGATACAAAAACAATAAAGAACTTCTCAAAGGCACCAAAAACCTACCTAAACAAGTAATCCCTCTCCTTGAGGAAAATCAGAAATTGAATTCATTGGAAAATCTCTGAAAAGGGCTCAAATTAAGGCTGGAAGTAGGGTGCATCATAAGTTGCTCAAGTAGTTGAAAACATCTATTTCAGAACTCGTCAAAATCTAACACTGACAAAGTTCCCAATAAACATATGCCTTTTAAAGTTTAAAATTGGAGCAGTTCTACTAAAGATTAACAACTTACTGAAACACCAGCCATCTCAGAAAGACTAATAATAGGATCATTGTCTATCACTCCAAGAAAGGCAATTAGATTCATCACAGATGACTGGTGAGTATTCAAGATGCTCACCCAAGAAAGGCAATTGATTCATACTGACTGTTCAAGATGCTGCATTGTTAATACTGACTGTTAATCAAGTACTTATCTAACTTGCTCAAAGCCCACAAATCTGCTGCCAATGTCAGTCCAAGTTGCATAATCAGCTAAACATCCAACCTTAATTATTTTTCATTTTGTTGTTTAACATCACACTCAGTAATATTCCAGATTTATGGTGGCAGTCTGTAAATTATCGAGTCTGGACATGGCTATCCAGTGATCAACAGCATAAGCACTGATCCATGCAATGTGGATACAAACATAATTTTTTTCAAATTTTTTAACACCATGTACACATACAAAATTTACACACATGCAACAAAACTTGTGACATAATCAGATATGTTCAAACATAAACCTGACATACTGAGAGTCAATTTAGTGTATCAAAGAAAAGATGTTCCCATCAAAAGTGGAGTAATATATATCAACTTATCACCCAAAACTGTGTTCCACAGGAGATATTGCTTGTGTGAGATATCGCTTTGACAGTATATTTTGTACAATGCCCTGACAATGCTATGACGTCATGAACTTGATGACGTCACAATGCTATGACATCGCTTGACTGCAAGCCTAATGGCAGTACTGTGTTCAGAGATGTACATTTTCATTGATTTACTTAACTTATCAACACAAGTTCCAGTAGCCTGGGACCACTGCAAAGCTTATCTTTAGTGGTCCTGATGAATTTTCACTAGCCAGGGACCTAGGACCAGAGTAAATTCCCTTTTACTGAAAGGTGATATTCACCACTTGATACAATCATCTCAAGAAGAAAAGACTAGCGGATCATTGTCAATCCTCCGAAGGCAATTAGATTCATCACTTAGATGATTCTCTAGTGTTGAAGCTGTACGTCGCCTGGTGAGACAAGATGGGGACAAGGTAACTGTTTTGCCCTCAAATTTCTTTCCTACAAAATATGTCCACTTGTTTGCTTTGATTCGATGTGACCACAATACTCTTATACCCATTTGGACAGCTATGTCGATAAGATATCTGAAGTATAGATAAGATATGATGCTTATGGCAATTTGTATTATGGAAAAATTTCCCTAAGCCTGGATCATCAGTCGAACTCTTAGTTTAATGGCAATGCATAGAATACAGTGTTTTGTCACATTTGGGCAACTACCTATTGCTGCGAAGGCCATGACTGGCACACATCTTTCAGTTCCATGATCAGGGTTATCAATCATCTCCTGCGAAACTGACAACACATACTGCACCACCTGGTCTTGGCGGGCAGCCATTAACATGAGACATCACGCCTTGCAGGGTTCCACTCTCTTGTGATGATCCATCTCCCTAGATCCTGTAAGCACCTCTAATTATATATTTTACCATTGCGCTATCTCAGCTTTACATCTGGGAAACCATTTTGAGGGCGATCCTTTCTGGGTCATATTCATTGATGTTTTATGGATACTGTCATTACAGGCCTACCAAAAGAAAACTTTCCCAGTTGAAAAATGCAGAAGCCCATTAACGGAAATAACAACATATATTACTGTATTGTACCTGGCTACTAAAACAGTAAAGCGACAGCGAAAAACTGTGAAAACTGGCATTTTTTTATGTTAGCGAACTTTACACTCTATAAGCATGCGCCGATACGATCTGGGCTTCTTTCAATTTCCGAACAACCGTGAGATAGCCTAAGTGTAGAAAAAGTTTTAAATATCATAGAAATAATTGCTGTCAATGGTTTCATCGAGATGGGTGGCGAGTTTTGGTTTTCGCAGCCTTCATCTGAAAGCTGTGTCTATGTCACTACTGTGCACTCCATATACAAAGCACGTGAACAGAGCTAACCCTGAACCAATCTGTCCATACAATAGACAGGAGTGAGAAGGATAAAACGTTAATATTTCCGAGGGTCAAAATCACATTTCAGTTATCTATTTAATGGAGATGTTCCAGTTCAGAGGCACGGACTTGTGCAGGCACCACAATGTGTAATGTGCGCGAACGAAAAACCACACAATCATGTTTAATCCTATTTCCATGGTTTACAAGATTTCATGGTATCCTATCAAAAAAGAGACCCAGCAGGGCACCTACTATTCTTGTTTGATGGAATAGTCGCTACTAAATTTTCTTCCTAGTAGATAATTATTTGAAGTAATTTAACCCTTGATTGAAAGTAAAAATACATAGAAAAAATCAGCATCATGTTTCTGCACTGTAAACGCAATGTTTTAGGAATAACTGTTTTATTATGATAGCGAGTTCCGTAAAAAGCTGCTTTTAACAGTATTCCAGCAATAATTCTGCTTGTTTTCATAAGTTAATTGTGTGCCAAGGGTAAAACCAAGACCATGTGGTACTATTATGCAAACCTTGGCATGTCTCTGCTATTTGATTATGAACCAAAAACACATGGCTAAAAATAGTGTGTGAGAATAAAATGGTTGTGCCGCTCTTAGACATTCCATCAAGGTGCAGGACATAAGAATAGGGATATTTCTTGCACCATAATGGTGTGACGAGTGATTGTTTCAACCACTAGCTTACCGCCTGCTTTCCCAAAGGAACAAGACTTTAGAATCTTAACAGAGCACCACTGTTCAATTAACACACTCATGAAAGAAAAGAGTACATTTGACTGAAGCAGTTAGTAAATTGCAAAGATGCAAAAGGTTAAAAATCAACATCTACAGTTCTATGGGAGAGATGCTTGTCTGCCTTTGGGACTTTTTTTTTTAACATCAATTTTCGATAAAGGGAAGGGACATAACTCGTTTCAAAATAGCAGTGAAATGTTAATAGTCTTTAGGTAATAAAAATAGCACACAAACATGACTATTCTGAAACCAGATAATAGCATCCAATTTTTAGAACCAAGAAACCTTGGGTTAAAAGATATCCTTATCCACTCTTGTACACTATTTCTCATGACAAATCAAGTAGGGTTATTTGATATCGAAATTTTATTAATTTGTGGGTGCAGGTTTTTACGTGATGGACAAAATCACTAACTGCTAGACAACAAAGAACTGACATTCACTATTTGAATTCTTGTGACTGTATTTGACACAGAAATTAAGCAGACTGGAACAGAGACGCTATTAGACAATAATAACTCTTTCTACACTACAGTTTGAAGGGCAGTGACCGAGGCTAGTGTGATAGTGGAAGACACCAGACCCAGGCTTAGGACAGAAGTTTGCTTACTCGACCCACCTGCTTGGCCAGGCTGATGAGTAGCACGGGGATCAGGTACTGCAACGCTCCCTTCGCATAGAACATGCTGGTCCGTTCAGGTGGGCGGCCCTGCTCAGCAGCCTTGAGGGAGAGAAATACTAGTCAACATTTTTATACAGAGCTTCAGGTGTTTTTACCTCCAATAAGTCAAGTAACCTACAGCTGTGAAAAGATGGATCCAGACTTACGTAAATAACTGTAAGGCCAGGGCACACATGTTGGTCAGAATCGGATGACAACGAATTAAGTCGAACAATCAAACATGTGACGGTTACAGGAAGTATAAAATGACAGACTGACATTGCTAAAAAGTTGATGGTCAGATTTTCTATAATATGCAAGAAGTTTTCAGTTCATGTTCATGGCTTCATATAGGAGGTGAGGTGAAATTAAGCTTAACGTCGTACTTGAGAATATTTCGCTCATATGACGACGTGCATGGGTGTGTAAGTGCAGCTGCTTGTACTAGCCCAGACTGAAGCTGGTTTCATAGTGCTATCCCACTGAGATACCATGCCGGAGTGAAGCATGAGTACCCCACTCAGACACATTATACTGACTCCGAGCCGACCAGTCCTTGTTGTACCCATTAATGCCGAGCGCCAGGCAGGGACCAACAAGTACCATATTTTAACATCTTTGATTGAACCCACGACCTTCCGCTCTCCAGGTGGACGCTCTAACCACTACACCATGGAGGCGGTCGCTTTATATAGGAACACATTACAGTATGAATCTAGGTACATGTATCATAAATTGTGTATGCAGCTTTGTATTACATTCTGTTGCACTTCTAAGCTTCAATACCTGGCAATGAAAACAAAGCTTATGACACTGAATCAATCAAGACCATCCAATGATTGACACAAAAATCAACTAATCTAGTACTACTATACCCGTGAAGATTCGGGTTAGAATTGATCTTCAGTAACCCATGCTTGTCATAATACGTCACAAACGGGATCGGATGGTCAGGCTCAACGACTTTGTTGACACATTTCATTGTATCTCAATCACGTAGATCACTGGACTGTCTGGTCCAGACTGGATTACCTACAGACCGCAGCTTTACAGCTGGAATATTGCTGAGAGCACGTTAACTCACTCAGTACTGAGATACAACATATACAATCAACCAAGCCAAGCCTCCCTACAAATGTAAATTACAACTGGCTTCAGAACAATCTGACTGACAGAATACACTGAATATGTTCTGTAATGTTACCTCTGACAGCTCAATGGCCAGGTCCACCTCTTCATCACACACCGTGGACCAGAACTCAATTCCCTGCAAGGCGATCTCATCCACCTCACTCTCCATCGCCTCCATGGTTATCTGCAATCAACAACCAGCAGTCCCTGAAAACACTGGTTCCACAATCCTGGGCAGAGTGAATGATGATATGGTAAAACGATATGGTAAAACGCCATGTTTCACAACCGCCCAGCACTCAATTTGTAAGAATTTACATCTTGTTGTCATATCAAAATTACACAAATTGTCCCAAAGAAGTATCCACGAACACAGTATTACACATTTTCAGGACTAATCACAGGCTAATTCACATTACAATGGGATATTTTATTTTAAATCATAATTTATCAGGGAGACTATTTACATTTTGGAATTAATGTATGCTCACAATGTGATAAGGATCCTGTTTGTGGTTCCGATTTATAGACCAAATATTCATAACTTTTATCAGTAATCATGTATAACATGTACAAATATCTGTATCTGTAGTATATACCTACCTACCCTGGATTATGTGACAACATAAAAGGATCCTGCATGCTACATACTAGCTTAACAGAGCCGGTCCATGTAGTGCTTCATATATATGGTAGTGTGACAACATAAATGACGATTACATCACCAGACACTGGAGTGCTGCCATACTGGTACCTGAGCAGAAATGTTCACCAGACACTCAAAACATCTGAAATCTGTCACCAGTCACCAGTTGTCATTCTTGTCAACAAAACTGTCAATATCTCCAAACTGAATATCTTGGCCACAATTGTTTTCCTGTTAACCATTGAATAACTGTGACAACATAATAAAAGAAAAACAACAATAAGCTTTAAGGGAATGGGGATGAGTGTATGAACATGACAAATGATGCTTGCCCCAAAACCTTTGTAGTGGGCAGTGTATGAAATAAGCTCAAAACCCAGCCAGACATCTGGCAAGTTCTGGGCTGGTAAATTCAAAATGTGACCAGCCCAAAACTGATTTAACCAGACCAGACACAAGGATATGGTGATTTTACTCAGATGTATGGAATATCTCAAACAAATTTTACCAGACCATTGGGCTGGCTAGCTGTAAACTTAGACCGTCCGTCAGAAATCTAGCCTGTCTCAGGCAGTCAGACGGGCCTTATTTCATACACTGATTATGGGTCCTTCAGTATTCTTTCAAAGTGGACACAAAATCAATAATTCTGAATATGGGAAACGTTCTTCACTATTTGAGATTTAGTTAGTTCTACGTTATTTTAGAAAGAAAACAAACGAAAAACAACCCTCGGGGTTGACGAGTGAATGGGTTAAGATTTTCAGTCACATTGACAGTATTTCACCCATCTGTGACTAAAACAAGCATACATTCATCACACAAACTTAAATTACATCACATTCATGAAATCTGTGAAGTCATCCCATTATGCTGATGTTATGAAAGTGATGGTATGTTATGAAATTGAGACGAGAGCAATGGGTGACAAATCCCATTGCCAGAGCTCCAGATAAGATTTAGGTCATGTGGACCTTCCGCTCTCCAGGCGGACGCTCTAACTTTACACTACACCGCGGATGATTAAGCTCTATATAGGAACACATTACGAGTATGAATCTAGGTACATGTATCATAAATTGTGTATGCAGCTTTGTATAACATTCTGTTGCACTTCTAAGCTTCAATACCTGGCAATGAAAACAAAGCTTATGACACTGAATCAATCAAGACCATCCAATGATTGACACAAAAATCAACTAATCTAGTACTACTATACCCGTGAAGATTCGGGTTAGAATTGATCTTCAGTAACCCATGCTTGTCATAATCGTCACAAAGCGGGATCGGATGGTCAGGCTCAATCGACTTTGTTGACACATTTCATTGTATCTCAATCACGTAGATCACTGGACTGTCTGGTCCAGACTGGATTATTACAGACCCAGCTTTACAGCTGGAATATTGCTGAGGAGCATCGAAACTCACTCAGTACTGAGATACAACATATACAATCAACCAAGCTGCTCCCTACAAATGTAAATTACAACTGGCTTCAGAACAATCTGACTGACAGAATACACTGAATATGTTCTGTAATGTTACCTCTGACAGCTCAATGGCCAAGTCCACCTCTTCATCACACACCGTGGACCAGAACTCAATTCCCTGTAAGGCGATCTCATCCACCTCACTCTCCATCGCCTCCATGGTTATCTGCAATCAACAACAAGCAGTCCCTGAAAACACTGGTTCCACAATCCTGGGCAGAGTGAATGATGATATGGTAAAACGATATGGTAAAACGCCATGTTTCACAGCCGTCCAGCACTCAATTTGTAAGAATTTACAAATCAAAATTTATGAAGGAGACTATTTACATTTTGGAAATAATGTATGCTCACAATGTGATAAGGATCCTGTTTCACGGTTATAGACCACCATACTATCAGTAATCATGTATAACATGTACAAATATCTGTATCTGTAGTATATATGGATTATGTGACAACATAAAAGTTACGCATGCTACATACAGCGAACAGAGCCGGTCCCATGTAGTGCTTCATATACTGGTAGTAGAGCGACATGACTTTCACCAGACACTGGAGTGCTGCCACTCGTACCTGAAATGTGTCAAAACATCATCTGTCACCAGTTTGTCATTCTTGTCAACAAAAACTGTCAATATCTCCAAACTGAATATCTTGGCCACAATTGTTTTCCTGTTAACCATTGAATAACTGTGACAACATAATAAAAGAAAAACAACAATAAGCTTTAAGGGAATGGGGATGAGTGTATGAACATGACAAATGATGCTTGCCCCAAAACCTTTGTAGTGGGCAGTGTATGAAATAAGCTCAAAACCCAGCCAGACATCTGGCAAGTTCTGGGCTGGTAAATTCAAAATGTGACCAGCCCAAAATTGATTTAACCAGACCAGACACAAGGATATGGTGAATTTACTCAGATGTATGGAATATCTCAAACAAATTTTACCAGACCATTGGGCTGGCTAGCTGTAAACTTAGACCGTCCGTCAGAAATCTAGCCTGTCTCGGGCAGTCAGACGGGCCTTATTTCATACACTTTCAGTATTCTTTCAAAGTGGACACAAAATCAATAATTCTGAATATGGGAAACGTTCTTCACTATTTGAGATTTAGTTAGTTCTACGTTATTTTAGAAAGAAAACAAACGAAAAACAACCCTCGGGGTTGACGAGTGAATGGGTTAAGATTTTCAGTCACATTCACAGTATTTCACCCATCTGTGACTAAAACAAGCATACATTCATCACACAAACTTAAATTACATCACATTCATGAAATCTGTGAAGTAATCCTATTATGCTGATGTTATGAAAGTGATGGTATGTTATGAAATTGAGACGAGAGCAATGGGTGACAAATCCTATTGCTATCGACAATAACGAAACATCATATCAAGGATTCATAGACTTGATAAAAAGCGTTGTGTGGGGCTTTGGGTGTTGCATGGAGTGTGGGACAGTGGGCCTGGCATAGGACAGGGGGTGTAGATGGTGTGAGCAGGGGATGGGTTTGCTGACAACCTACCCTTGTGTCCGTGGACTGTGTGGCTTCACAGACAACTTGCATGATGAAGTGTCTCTCAGTCTGGGAACAAACAAAATAGGCAACTTCAGTAAACAATAAAGCATCATCAGAATCAAACAGTGTTATTTATGAAAAAATACACCAAATTTTTTTATGTTTTCTGCAGACTTGTATCATAAGCACTTGTGGTTGATAGGCAAAAATTAAGACTATGACTTCATGTTTGATTTCATATAAAGCAATCCCATAAATATTCCAATCTGGACCAGAAACAAAAGCGATGATAAAACCTAAAATGGGTCACAACATCAGCATGACCACACAGGCCTGCTCACAGAGCATGCAAACATTATCCGATTTTGAGCCAGTTACCATGGTTACAAGCTAATGGTGCTGCAGATCTTCTCAATAACTGGATCAACCACCAGCTGTGCTTGTTACAAGTGCTACTGAAAGGCATTTTACTTGTTGATAACTGTGAAAGTGTCTACACCGAAACGTCACATTCATTATAATAAAGAGCTGGCTATCCATAGAACTTTGGTTTTCCTTCGGCTAGTGAATAAGCCTATGCAAATTGCCCATTCATATTTACCAAGTCATCAAAATACAACTTCTCAATGCATAAAACACTTTAGGCTGTGCTTGCATACATTGAGCTTTGAAATATTCTCATGATTCAAAACAAGTCACTAGACGGACAGAATAATATCAACAATTATAAGCAATACAAACAGCACTCACTGTGTACCTGACTTTTGACTGACTGGTAAACCTCTTATTCTTATACTTACATCTTTATCAAAGTTTGACTTGGTAAATTCAAGTGAGTTAAGAAGGGCATTTGTCGCTGCAAGACGAACATGGTTACTGCAAAATAAAGTGAATACTAAATAAGCCAAGATATCAAGATCCCTTTAAGAACCATCATTAAAGAACAGCCCACAATTTTCAAATTCTGAACACAAAGAAAATAGAAGCTAAACATTAATTGTGGAAGGTAGCTAAACTTCCAAAGGTTACAATTTGGTTTGTTTGGGTTGTTTAACGCCACACTCAGCAATATTCCAGCTATAAGGCGATGATCTGTAAATAATCGAGTCTGGACCAGCCAATCCAGTGATCGTCATCATGAGCATCAATCTAACGCAATTGGGGTTAATGTGTCAAACAAGGCAGCAAGCCTGACCACTCAATCCCATTAGTTGCCTCTTACAACAAGCAAGGGTTGCTGAAGACCCATTCTAACCCGGATCTTCACGGGATCCAGCTGTTACAAACAAAAACTGCTACATGGTATCATTTAAGTACATCTTAGTGATATTGTTTTGCTAGCAAAGCTGACCTCAGTGAATAAGTATGGTTTTAAGATGCTTTCAGCTATATTCCAGCAAAACCGGGCAGGGGACACCAAAAGATTGTCTTCACATAGTATACCCAACTTGGTGACTCAAACCTGGGTCCTTGAAGTTAAGAGTCACTCTACCCCACCACCTATGCAAAGCTGACAAAACAATTTACTAGAATCAGGTCAAGATAAATTGAACAAAGTCACAGACTGATGTAGTCCAAGGGTCCAAAGATAAAATGTCAAGTGGTTTGTACGGTCTACATTTCAAGCTGATTGATGAACATACCTTGGCTCCTCTTTCTTCATTCCATGGACAATGGCTGTCAGGATGTCGTTGGACTGTGTTTGTAAAATCTCTGGATCCTCCAAAAGACGAAAAAGGAAACTGTGACAATCTTACACTATCACCTTACAGTACTAGGAAATACAGAAGTGCCTTCAAATGGCTAGTGTTGAATAACGCAACACTTACTCCAAAATAACAGAATACAGGAATATGAATTTATCTGATATTTCCATATTCCAAATACAAGTTACTGAAGACCTGAGTAACAGTCAAATACTGCTATTGTTTATATTATCAATGCTGAAATATTGTTTTTAAACAAAACTAAACATGGTTTAATTGTTACCAACCATAAGAATAAGAAAATGGAGAATCAGAAATTCCTAATGAATTCTCATGAAGCACAAGATGACAGTCTGTTGTAGCAACTTACTATGTCTTGACAGACATAGCCAATGGCTTCAAGTGTGGATTCCTTCATCATTTCAGTACTAGCTGGATTTGTAACATTGGCAGTGAGGCTTGAGATGAGATCCGGCCATAGTCCCTGAGGGAGCTCCGCTCACGCCTGCCACATATGCCACGCACTGTGCTGCAGAGCTCGGACGAATTGTTTCGGATCCTAAGGTTGCCAAGATCTGAAAAGCATATGAACATTTAACAATGTTTCCGTTGAAGAAAATAATTTCTGTGTTAGAATAAAGTGAAGTTATTATCCATAAAACCTGTCATGTATTCTGTGAACTAATTGGATATGACCCTATTGTGTCCTTAAGGGCTGCTACAATTCACATGCGTTTTCAGTGAATTGACCCATATCACTTTTGTTATTTGTGATAAGGATCAGACATTCATGACTTTCCTTTAAAGGTGTTTTACAAGAATGAATTTGCATGTTATTTTTCAAAGAGATATGCAAAATGGAAAACATCCAAGACAAAGGATAACAAGTGATTGCCACTTATATGGCCGCTAAAGAATGGCAAATTTATCACATATTTACTATTTTTTAGTCACATACAAGATGCCTGAAATGACTGGTGTCTGCATAATCACCCAATGTAGGCTGTCGAAATAATTAAAGACATTGGGTGCAATATTTTATGAGATATCGCATTAATAAGAGTTTGAAAAGTGGTCAGTGTCATAGTGGCCTTGAAAATAAGGTCAAGGTCACCAAAATCAACTGGTGTCTGGGTAATCCCCCAATGAACAGTAGGTTGTCACCAAATTTGAAGACATTGGGTACAATTGGGACTTACGGACACCGCTGAATACATAGTCCCCCGTTCGCGTTGCAGCGAGGGACAATAACATTCGCTTTTAAACGTAATATGGTCAATGTCATAAGATATTAACACTGTCAACATTGCTCCAAGAACTTATTTTGTATATTTTTCAATTCATCAACTGCTGACATGTTACTGTATTTGTTAACTAATATTCATGATATGCATCTTATTCGCCTCTTAGTGGACTCATTATAGTACTGCTGTCTATCCTACTACTTAGAAAATATTATGGTATCCTTTCCTACTGGAAGGTTGAACACAGTATTTCAAATGATACATAGTAACATGGACCTACATTTTGCTTGACATGTGTGCGGACATCTTGTGCAAACTGGAGCCACCTCTGCTGGTACTGTACTTTGATGGCGGGATCTTTGGAGTAGAGTGCATTCTTGAGTTGGAGACCCGCCTGCATCCTGGCCACAGGGCTGTTGCCGCCATGCTTCAATACGTCAGAGAGCTGCTTCAATAGCTCAGGCTGTAAAGGAAGCAAAGGATACATAGAAAGAGTCCAGATACCCATTCCAAACATATCAGTATCCTATTTTTTGTATTGTATTCATTTTGCTCAGGTCCTGCAGAATGTGTATGAGCATTTTGTTTTTCAGATTCAAATGTGTAAGTGAAAATAAGGGTATATAGGCAAAAAGGTAGTCAGTCTCAAGTCCCTGAACCACATTAATTTTCCCACTGCAATGCTAAGTCCTAAATGAAGCAAGTGTAGATTTCCCCCGGTTCAGGGACTGAATCTGACTGCTTGGGGCTCCTTTTCAATTTAAATAGGTTAATTTGTTGCTATCAATATTACATATCTTCAGGGACCTAGTGTTAGTCCAGCAAAAAGGCTATGGAGTTGAGGCATGTGATTCACATATACCTCAGGTTTACTATATTGACAAGACATTTCACCTCAAAGCAACTACTGTTTAACATTACCAAGCAGTCAGACTCACAGCATGGCATTCCAGCAGAGCTTCAGGACAGACTAACACTAGGGTGAATAAGCAGGGCTCCAGATAATTTTTCAACATCAGGAGTACGTACTCCTTATTTTTTCAATATATGAGTGCTGGAAAACAATACGAGTACATTTAGAGTACTGAATGGAATCTAATGGTGTATCATTAAACTTGTGCTTCGTTTCATATATGCATGACAGCATTGCTACTCTGGTGTAAACGGTCAATAAACAATTAAAAATACTTTTTCAGATAAATATGTCTGTAAATGATTCTAAGGCCGTACACAATTGCTGTGGTGAGTATCTGCTACGTTTTCTAAATTATTTCCTACTGTATCATGTATATTTTTTATCCGTACATACACTGATATGGCCCTTATCTGTAGCCCTGATAAGCATGGAGTGTTTAATGGGCTTGTCATATGTATTCCATTTTCATATATAAAAAACACACACACAAAGTTAACAAAGAAAGGCTAATACTGACTAAGACGACATACTAAGAATTATTCAATTATCCAGTTGGATACCAGCACAACTCAAATCAGAATCAGTTAAATCCTAGAGGTGATCAAGACAACCTACATGGGATATCAGCCACAAGATTGATACAGATCAATGCAAATTTCACCTTAGTATCACCTGGCATTTTCACCTCAGAGCCATTAATAATTTACACAAATTGCATACACATCCTGATCAATGATTCGACAGCAAAATGTTGAAGGAATTACTCAATAATTTAACTATGTTGAGCAGTAACTAATGAAACAGTTTCAGAATTACCCGTTCACTTACCAGATTCTCGGAAATACTATTAAGATCAACTGGAAAAACAGTGGAACAGCAATATAAATATTGGTTGTGCTGGAAGGTTGATGTTTAAACAATCAGCAAGGAAACAATTTCTTATGGAGGTCAAATTGGGTTTAACGTCGTGCTTGAGAATATTTCGCTCATATGATGACGTGCATGGGTGTGTATGTGTGGCTGCTTGTACTAGCCCAAACTGAAGCTGGGTTTATAGTGCTAGCCCACTGAGATACTATGCCGCAGTGAAGCATGAATACCCAACTCACACACAATATACTGACTCTGAGCTGACCAGTCCTTGTACCCATTAATGCAGAGCGCCAGACAGGGACCAACAAGTACCACATTTTAACGTCTTTTGGTATGACATGATCGAGGATCGAAGTCGCGACCTTCCGCTCTCGGGCGGACGCTCTAACCACTACACCACGGAGGCAGTCATTTCTTATAGAAGTGCCGTTAAATTTTAGTGTTTACGTTTGATGTGATGAACAAGTTATAATTTGCACAAAATACAAAATTAGATCATAATTCAGCATACTGTTTTGTTAGTAACTATACATAAATAGGTCACCACTTCTCAGTGAAGTAAATGTGTTCTTTCAGGCTAATGTTGCTTTAGGTACTGCTGATATTTATTGATAATCAATCCATAAGTAGTTAATGATCATGGTGATGCAAGGGTGCTAGTGGGTGTAAACTTATGCACCTTGATGCATATAAATAACTTAAGAAATATTCCAGTGATATGATGTCGGTTTGTAAATAATCAAGTCTGGAACAGAAAACCCAGTGATCAACATCATGAGCATCCATCTATGCAATTGGTATACAATGACATGTGTCAAAGTCAGCAAGCCTGACCACCAGATCCTGTTAGTCGAAGACCCAAGATCTTCACGAGTTTCAATACCAAGACCTTCATTCAGAAATTTATTTCTTAAAAGCCAAAGTTCAGTTCTTCGACTGTGTCTGTGCAACATTTCATACAGTCTGCATCCTGGAGCCATCCCTAAAACCGATGATTATAGATCACGCTCAAATCTTTTACAAATCTTGATCACTGGATAAAATCGTCCCAACACATACAGAACTTATTATTGCTCAACATATATATTCAAGCTTGCTCTTTCAAGTAAAATGAATGACTCCTGTACAGAATCAGGATCTGTACATAGAAAACGCTGGGATCCTGTGAAGATCTGTTCTCCCACTATCCTCATGACCCTGACGTCAGTCAATAACTTTAAACACCCCATTCGTATTAAAGTCTACCGCTGGAATCACCTATATATGGGCAGTAGAGCTGCAGATGAACAACTTCTTATTTGCAGATCTTGAATGATGACAAACCTGAGCTTGTTTCACTAGACGCCTTATTTTCACATGAAATACTGCAGGCAACAGAACGCTCAAAGCCTCGGGGCTGAATAGACAGTTTGAATGGACATGACAACATATAAATAAGTAGATTGCTTTAGGAGGCTCCTAATCACGTTCAGCTATCAACAATGCGTTTTCAATGAGAGGTTGAGATCATGCAGAATGATATGATCAACACACCTATATCTGTTGATGTAGCAGTTCCCTGATTACAACAGAATCCTGATAACACAATAAATGCCACATCGCGATTTTAAGTTGAAATCATACCTATAAATAACACTCATCTATGAAAGACAGTTGCATCGTACAGTGCATGTTCGCCGCCATCTTGGTTTCTGGATTACCCTTACGGGAAAATATATACTTACTAAATTCTGTTGTGCTGCGTGTTCTAAGAACTGTTGGGCAGATTCTAGTTCCTGTGTGTCTGAAACGACAATCGTTATGTCTGAAGAACCACAAATAAAGTGTCATATGCCTTGCAATATAGGACAACATGTCTGAAATCTGTAACTCACCGAAGTGAGAAACACGTGAAACGAGATAATGAAGATATTTCTTATCAACCAACCTGGCGATACTGTTTTCTCAAGTACGGCAATTAAATCCATCGTGTGTTGCTTAAAGTATACCTCATAAACCCGGTCTTTTTATCATATATTTATCTAGAAATGGCACGTGAAAGAGTTTCGGCTGAAGACTTCGGAGGTCAACCAGCCCATGTGGGTCGGCGCAGGAATATCACAACGTGAATTCCGGGTGCGTTCCATGATACGTTTCTTACGGCATATCTGATTGGTTTAAACTGAACTTACCTCGTCGCGCAGAAGACGATCACCCAATCGTATTACTTGTGAAATGTCTCGGCAAAGCTACACTTGTCATTGCATCTTCCCAGAATTTTCAGCGGCAGTGATAAATTGTTTTCTGAATGTTATTTAGACATATTTTAGCCCAATACACGTATTTGCACTACGCTGGGTGACATATGTTTGTAATGTGTAAACGTCTGATTTATCATTTGGAAATATTTGTTTTCGCGCTTAAATACGGTTGCAATTCGGCCCATTTAAACACCGGCTTTACATCATTTCCCGCCATTTATCAAACCGACTTCGTGTCCATCGCCTTCAGGGGAGATTACATAGTATATAAACAGTTGCCCCCTTGCACAGACTGATTTCCAAGAGATATCTTTCCACTAAAACGTATTCTATGATCAGTAGATTTTTATTTGATAACCACGAGATGAAAAAAGTACCGCTAATATATGAGGAAACTATATTTTTACAGGAGTATAATTATGTTAACGATCGAGTTACATATGCAACAAAAAAAAACATAATTAAAACAATTATCACTTTATTCATGACATATAATATACATTGCTGATTGTGAAAAAAACAAATAAACAAAATTATAAGCGTACAATCGCGAATCAAAAGTGCAAAATTTTGAACTTGGGTTTATTTCACTCGAAACGAAGCACCCGGGAGACCGAACCCAGTCAGAGCGGGTGGGTATGCACTCAAGTGTAACGAAGTCTTTCATTGGCTGGTTCGTTTGCCGATACGCTGAGGGCTCATTGTGTGTATATAGAGATGATCTGTTTGATTGGCATTTTAGAAGTATATATAGTGAGTAATAAGAAAGTATAAGATTCTTTATGGATAACTATATGTATACTCACCAGGGAGTTGAGATTGATAATACGATGTGACGTTGAGATTGACATCCAGTGATCGAGGGAAACAAATACCAGCGCCTTGAGCAAGCAATGGTTGCATGGATATGTGCGCTATATAAATATCCTATAATAAGAAAAATAATAATAATAACAACTTATTTTTTGTATATGATGCGACGTTTCGGTATGGATTCATATACCGTTGTCAATCAAGAGTGACAACGGTGTAAGAATCCATACCGAAACGTCGCATCATATACAATAGAAGAAGTTGTTATCTATAAAGAATTAATGTATATAGAGATGTTGGGTTTTGTAAATACATGCTCGAGATCTCTGCATTTGCGTTCGATCCAATCAACAAATACTGAGATGGTGAACTACTGCGTGGCTGGAAACTGTCGTTCGTCCAAGTACAAAGCAGGACTTGAAACTGACAATCTGAATTTGCACCGGTTTCCGTCCGATCCAGTCATCCGAGAAAAATGGACGCAGTTTGTTTGCAACCCACAGACATAATAACATGTCATGTGTACAAGTATCACACCTGCCTGTCTGTGTAATTTTATAATGTAACAGAGAAAGAACTCAGGTGCACGAGCCATAAATCAATGTATTTTGTTTATGGTGTATAGCCTGACAGGTGACATACCGAAACAAATCGTCAACACCTGTGTGTCTGCCTGCCTGTCTGCTAATGACAATATTCAATACACAGCTGCTATAACTGACCACATGCAATTCGAACTTAACACCAATCAGGCTATACACCATAAACAAAACGCATTGATTTATGGCCCGAGTTCGGTCTCTGTCACATTATGTAATTACAAAGACAGGCAGGTGTGATACTTGAACACATGACATGTTATGATGTCTGTTGATTGCAAAATGTTATACACAAAAAATGAGCATGTATTTACAAAACCCAACATCTCTATATATACACACACAATGAGCCGTGAAGGCGGCATCTGCTAATGAACCAGCCGTTACACTTGAGTGCACACCCACCCTCTCTGACTGGGTTCGGTATCCCGGCTGCTTCGTTTCGAGGGAGATAAACCCAACTACAAAATATTGCACTTTTGATTTGCGATTATACGCTTATAATTTTGTTTATTTGTTTTTTCATAATCAGCAATGCATTTTATATGTCATGAAGAAGTGATAATTGTGTTTTAATTATGTTTGATTTTTTGGTTGCATGTAACCTTTAAGTTCAAATTGCATGTGGTCAATGATTGAAGTTGTGTATTGCATATAGTCATTAGCAGACAGGCAGGCAGAGACATAGGTGTCAATAAAACAGACGTTGAGTTTTGTCTGTGACAGACACTGCTTATCACAATCCACATATTTTCTATGTTTCCATAGACATGTGTATTAAAACATTTCAGTTTTCAAGCTGAGCAATTTTTAACAATGAAATTAGTATTTCAAATGCTACACTTTCTTGAAAACTTGGTTTGCAAATCTGCAACCAAGTAAGGGACCAGTGTATTTTTATTACTGCAGACCCAAGATGCTTGTAATCACAAGAAACATCTCTTGTTCTGCAACTTCGTCCACAGCGATAATCCCTGCACGCATCACTTGCTGTGTTGTGTGTTTACGAGTCGCCTTCCCGGGTTCAAGCCGCGCGAACCTAATCACTGCGCATGCGCTGTGGGCGCAGCACAGCACAGCTGTTGAAACCACTTTTCACCCCAGCGCTGAGGTGGAATTAGTGAATCGTTTGAACCCCGATTTCGCGGGGTTTTTTTCATCGCGTTATTTTTCAACTTTATAAGTTGAATTTGCATTTTTGATAATTTGTTACTGTACTTGTCCATACCGAAAGGTATCAGAATCTGCAAAGTTGTGTTTTGCGTTGTATGTGGCCTTTAAATGAATATCAAACTGCGGTTGTCAGTAAAACGTATCGTCAGATTATGATCTTTGTAAATTGATCTCATGAATGTATGATGAATTCAAGTGAGTGTGAGTGAGTTTAATTTTACACCGCTTTTAGAAATATTCCAGCAATATCACGGTGGGGGACACCAGAAATGGGCTTCACAGATGAATTTAAGACATCATGTTATTCTTAATTGAATGGCATTCTTTCTATTTAACACAATGAGGTCTCCCCAGGATACGTGAACAAGACAGATGCTTTTACTTTATCATATGTCATACAACCACCTCCGTGGTGTAGTGGCTAGAGCGTCCGCCCGGAGAGCGGAAGGTCGCGGGTTCGATCCCCGACCGCGTTATACCAAAAGACGTTAAAGTATGGTACTTGTTGGTCCCTGCCTGGCGCTCGGCATTAATGGGTACAACAAGGACTGGTCGGCTCGGAGTCAGTATAATGTGTGTGCACTTAAAAGAACCCACGAATCCGTTGGTATATGACCAGATGGTGGACATACATGAATACGTGCAAACACCTAGTTGCGGGTACAGCAACGTGCAGTAATCTTGGACAAAATACTGTGTCCCAGTCCACCCAGCTGTGAATGGGTACCTCGTAAGGATGGAAAGCCGCAATAACTCGGTGCGCCTTGTGGCAGCAAGAGTTCTATGATCCCCAGGGAGTTGAGATTGACAATAAGATGTGCCGTTGAGATTGACATCCAATGGTCAAGGGAAAAAACGTACCAGCGCGTTGAGCATGCACTAGTGTGTGGATATGTGCGCTATATAAATATCCAGTAATAACATAATTTGTTTGTTTTAAGCCGCACTTAGCAGCGTTGAACTTGTATCAACTGCATGTCAGCGGTTTTGCAAACGATAGCGTCTGGACCAGACAATGCAGTGATTCACATAACATGGGCATCGATCGATGCTTTTGGGACACAATCATAAGCATGAACCCCGTCAGCAAACCTGGCCACCAGATCTCGTGAGTCACCTCTTACGACATGCATGACTTACATAAGTGAACGATCACAAGCAATATTCTCATGGTTATTAGCCACTGCAAACAAGCAACATGGCGAGAAATAATCTCTGGTAAATACTGGCAAAAAGAACAATGTTCAATGATTTATCTGAAAAAGTATTTCTGTGTACAAAATAGTAATAGTAACTTGGGGATGCAAGCCAACATATGCACTACTTTAAAACAATCCCAAAGCTTCTTTCTGGGTCCAGCTAACCAGTGTTACCCGTGAAGATCAAAGTTAGAATTGATCTTCAGCAATCCATGCTTATCGTAAGAGACGACTAACGGGATCGGGTGGTCAGACTGGCTGACTTGGTTGCCACATCATCATATCCCAGTTGGGTAGAGTGATGCTCATGCTGTTGATCACTGGATTGTCTGGTCCGGACTCGATTATTTACGGACTGCCTCCATATAGCTGGAATATTGCTGAGTACTGCGATAAATAACAAACTAAAACCAATCAGTGTCGTATCAACAGAAAACATTGTGACGTTATGTTAATGTCACAACGTTAAATAGTAAGGCCACACTGGTCTGCAGAACATGTATTTTGTAGGGATATCAACAAGGCAATATCGCTTGTTATTACCCACGAGGTCAACGTATGGGTAGTTGCATACTAATCTCGTACGTCACACGAGTGTCGTATCGCGTTGATCTGTGTCGTAACGACTTGACCTGAGATTCTAACGATTTGATTGGATAACCGATTACCTCTCAATTAGGTCACATTCTGACGTAACTATTTTTATATTCATAACAAACACGTGAATTCATTCATTCTACAACATAAATGCATTGTGGAAATGAAAACATTGCGGAGGTTGCCGTGTCGCTGTTTAATTGTGAGTCGAACTGAGACATTATATCCGTCGAAAAACATAAACGCAATGTTTCCACCAGTGATGTTAGCCGAATGAAGCAACTGGAAACCAAGAAACGAGGTGCTACGGAGTAGTTTACTGTACGAGGCTGTACGAGGCGATGACAACTGACATGCAGTGACGTCATTACAGTGTGACGTCATGAAAATATTGTACTACAGTACAAAACTCTTCCGCAACCTCTTTATGAAACCGGTTTCGGTTTGAAACCAAAAACATAACAAAAATACGCTATTTTGTCAATTTAATGCATGTAAGACGTGGGTAATAAATAAAATACCACACTCGGTCTCATTACATACGAATTATACGAAACTCGTGACCTTCCTAATGAGACCTCGTGTAGTATTCTCTATATAGCAGCCATATGTGGAATGATTCGCCTGCAATAACTTTCCGATATATATATGTGTATGTGAATTATAGAGATTGTCCGTTCTGATAGGTGGAAAAAACAAATGACGTCATACATTGTTCATAACGACACACACTAATGGCATAACGTAATTTTTATGACTATATGCCCCCTTCATGCAGTGATGTTTCTTTGTAATATTGAAAATTTCCACGTTTCCTTCATTTTCTGTTAACATCTCCATGAGTGATATACAGAATAACCTAACCTATGTCCCTCTCGGATGAGTGATGTAGGTTGCTGCCAGAAGCTCTGGATTAACACCATTCATTCATTCGGAACAGATAATCCGTAATTCCTCCCAGCTCGCTGTTTATTCTCTAAATATCACCAAGCGATAATCCGGTGGAACTGGGTGATAAAAAACATATTCAGATGACGTCATTGTATTGTTCTCCGGAAGTAGGGCAAAGCGCTTCAGGACCAATCTACACAGATCTAATCATTTAATGCATAATGTTAAAATATCGGTCAGTACGCACGTCCTGTTCACATCAATGTGGTCAAACTGACCGATATACTCTGGCTACTCTTCCATGATAAAGATCGAACAATAGGTAATTGGCTTGAAACGTAAAACGACGGGCCAAGCTACTGTCATTCAGACCCTGAAACAAATATACCCAATGCAGCCCATGCAAGTCTATAATATGTGGCAAGTCTAGATTACCAGTTTCATGAAAATGAAGAAAGTCTCTGTGCTCCTTGTTTTATATTTTGTGAATTTAATTGAGGAACTATTTTTTTCCGTAAAACATCTTCATTTCATAAAACTAGATGTTAGTCTAGGGCCAAACATCAGCATAGACTAAGGCTTAGTCTCTGAATATACATATATAATTTTGATAGTAACAAACAAGCCCATTTACCTGAACCTGGGGAAATATGGACTTGCTTCGTTTAGGGCTTTAGCACTACAGGGAAGAATAGGCTGTAGGAAAATAATGTGGTTCAGGGACTGTGAGACAGACTAGCATCAGCACTGCGAGTTGTTAAACATCTTGTATATAGCAGTGTACGCTGACAGCGTCTTATGAACGATGAAGACGACTCCGCCCTTCCGTCGGGAGCTTCCGGAAAAGTCTGCTGCTGAAGGTTGTGGGCAAAACCTCTTGTGGGGGTCACCAGGTTAACTACTGTGATATTATGTGAATGAGCAATTGTTGTTTTAGGCCGCAGTTGGCAACCATTCGTCACAACTCGTCCATTTCCGTAACCGCTTGTCCCGGAATAACACAAGTTGGTCACGAATGAGTTGGCAACAGGCCAGCATTGATATCATGGCGGCTTGTAAATTTTCGAGCCATGGCAAAGTACAGCCGGACAACCTGTAAACTCACATTCACCGAGTCGCCTCTTGGTGTTACCCAGTTTGTTTTGTGTATTTGTTGTTTAACGCCGCACTCAACAATATTCCAGCTATATATTGGCGGTCTGTAATTAATCGAGTTTGGACCAGATGGTTCACTGATCAACAGCATGAGCATCGATCTACCCAATTGTGATACGATGACATGTGTCAACCAAGTCAGCGAGCCAGACCACCCGATCCCGTTAGTCGCCTCTTACGACAAGCATAGGTTACTGAAGACAAATTCTAACCCGGACCTTCACGGGTCTTAACTTAGGAATTGCCTTCTTCAGAATCCCCAAAACTGTTAAAACATTGTACAAAATTCCAATTTAATTCTTCACGTGGTACGTGACCGACCGTATATATATCCGCTGAGAGGTGAGTTCGGTTTTCTGCCGCTTTGAACAGTACTTATAATACAATCAGGGCAAATTGGTACGTGACCGATGGTATCTATATATATATAGATATATATATATATATCTATATCTATCTATCTATCTATCTATCCGCTGAGAGGTGAGTTCGGTTTTCTGCCGCTTTGAACAATGTTTATTAATAGGCCTACAAGACAACGCGTCTGCTTTATGTGGGAAGGAGCCCGAAGTAATGCATGTTTTTAGACGTTTGACCCTTTGATGAAAGGTATATGCTGACAAACCAATAAATACAATCAGGGCAAATTGGGATTCGAAACCAATATTGTGTATTCTAGGCACGTACAAGGGACTTAACTATATAATGGGTGTTGTGTTGAGGAACTGTAATTATTACGGAACAATCACTTCAAGTGCTGTGTTTTCAGAACACAATTGCTATTGTCCTTGGCATACCATGAGTGCCAAATTCAAGACCTTCCTGTGTTTTGTATCAGTTGAAAGTCAACACTACTTACATCACTTGATGTTTGCAAAGATGAAAATCAAAGTTCTTTGAACATTTATAACAGGAAAGAAAGGCTGATATGATTTTTATTATCTTAAAGAGGTTTTCTCCAGTCTTGTGTCCATTTCAAGTGTACACTTAAATCTTGTGTGATATGAAAACTGATAAATTATCTCTCATTGTAACAAGCGGTCAGGCTCCCACATGTCATCCTATCCCATGTGCATGGACAGTCGGACAACTGGAAGTTTATACCTTTCGGCTGTGGGAGACATGCCAATTTACACTTATCAGAGGGGCATACAAAGTCTGTGGTAAAGACTACCAGATGTCCGACTTCGACTTTTGTGGACGTCGCAGTGGCCGAGTTGGTTAGTCGGTTGTCTTTGTGTGCTGGCACAGAGGGTGTGGGTTCGAATCCCAGATGGGACTCCAACAAACTAAAGTATTAGAATCTGTACTTTACTGAGAAAGCGTAATCCCAAATATAACATGTATTACATTTGACCACTTTCTGATTGGCATCGTGTATTCAATTACTTTCTTTACATGAAGCTGGTAGAGAAGGCAGAGCCAAAGATCCTGATCTTATGGACTTGTATCAAATGCAGAGATGGATGGCATGGCTGTTGAGTTCTGGGTGTTGAAAATACATTGTGCCAGCCTGTGGCGATAACTGACTGTGATCCAGCTGGTCAGTGTCTTTCTGAAGTACAATCTGAAGTGTAACACCAGCCTTTGAAGGGTGACTTTGGTGATCCAAAAAGGTTCCGATATTTGAATCCATGATCTCAGAATACTCATAACCAAGGGAAGCAACTCTCCCAAGCCAATTACAGGCTTTTCTACACCAAATCAAAATCAGTTAGGGAAGCAAGACAAGATTGACATAGATTGAGATATCTGGCAGCTGTGATAGGATGATTTTGCCAAAACGGTTTAGTTTTCCACTTAACACTACAGCAGAAGTCTTTAAGTAAACAATTGGTTTTGAGAAACCAGCATCAAAATAATGGTTATGCACACTAACCGAGATAGCATTCAGAGATGGCAATGGTTTTGCCAACATTGCCAACATTGGGCCAATGTCCGAATGCTATCTGGGAAAGTCCATACTTTAACAAATTCACTTTGGTCAGTATTATATGGAATACCATGTTTGAAATCAGCCAATCAGGTGCCAGCTTATCTCAATCAAAGAATGGGGGACGCTTGGAATTTTCTCCAGGAACATTTACTTGGAAAGTGACGTCTAGAAATAATAGTAGCCAGTAGATATTTTCTGTGTTTATTTATACAGTGAAGATACACACCCCTTCTTAAGACATTCAACAGTGACATAAAGATTGAAAAACCGGTTTTATATAGTTAAATTCTCATAAAATCAGATCATTTACTCTCATACAAAACACCTCTCTGCCCTGGACACAGATCAGAAACAACATGATGTAAACAACACCCACAGAGAATGTAATGATGCAGCCTTAGTTTTCAACATTTGGAACTTACTGTTTAAGTTTGTTTTGAGATAGTCAAATCAGATGAGCTGCTCTAAATGCTACACTGACACATATTGAGAATTTAGTGTAGATGTCAGCTGGCTGTTTAGAAAGCTCAGCTCACATGACTTACTGTAAATCATCTGATTTTAATGAGATTGGTTTTTTCATGTTTATGTACAAAAGTAACCTCCAGTTGCACTGTGTTTATTCAGCACGATACACATCAGCTCCTATATACAGCTGCTTCCTGCTTGTGTTTCACATCCGCAACACACCAGTATCCACATCCTTCTTTAGAATTCCTTCTTCATATCTGAAAATTTAAATAACCAATTACAAAAACATTCTAAACTGCTGTTGATCAAATAACTAGCTAACCTGTCCATGGTGAGTGAGTGAGTGAGTTGGGTTTTACGCTGCATTCAGCAATATTCCAGCAATATCACAGGGGGTATGCCAGAAATGGGTTTCACACATTGTACCCATGTGGGGAATCGAACCCAGGCTTTGGTCGTGATGAGTGAAAGCCTTAACCACAAGGCCCCACCACCCCAATCCATGGTGAAACAGATAAAGCATTAGAGGGTACCAACATTATATTGACTGAGAAACATTGATGTACTTCATGTTGTTGAGGAAGTATTTCAAATAGTACAATAAAGTTTAAAGTCTAGTGAGACTTCCTAATTATTTCTTTCCTTAAAATCGAATAAGTAAAGGACCTTCTGACCATCATACTTAAATTCTGACACTGACACATATTTAAAAAAACTAGGGATAAGATATTCTTTCTCCCTTCACATTATGTGTTAGGTTGAGTATGCAAGATCTTCGTCTTGATTTTAGGTGTGCTAAAATCACCTTATAAACTACGAAAACCTAATTAGTAACATGTTTGGTTGCAAATTTTGAATTGTTACAAATATCTAAGATTTAAACTGGATACAATCCTCTGATAACTACCAAAAAGTCCCTGAGTTTCATGATCGGTTCTTATATTATATAACCTTCTCATGTTTCAAGACAGTTCAGAAGACACAAGTCAGGAGATGGATGTATCACAGGAACACTCACCACTCTGTTCCTGCAATGTGCCTCGCCAACTCTGCTCCATCTGCTTGACAAACACATCAAATATGTCGATGGTCGGTCCCAGGGAGGTTCTCTTGTAGTCTGGAAATATGGCACTAAATATGACAAGAGTCTTTGTCACATTTTGATTTCAGTGGACTGAAGTTCTGTTACTACAACCTCTAACAGTGCTTGCTGAAGTATTTGTCTGATTTATAAACTCACAAAGTAAACATATATTAGCTCTCTAAAAAAATGAAAACAAAAAAGGTTTTGTATGGAACTGTTCGGCTAAAAGTGTTGAGACATCCCAAGGTAACAAACTTGTCCAATATATCTCTGTGTAGAAGAACCTATTCTTAAAATGTCTCCAGATCATAAGATAGTCTTTCCAAAATAGTTTCAGGTACACTTAATTAAGGAAGTACCTTTCTGTTTTTTGCCTGTTTCTGTTGTCACAGCTTCTGTTTTGTTTAGCTCCTCGAGCAGACCACTGAAATATACAACAGAATGGTCATGTTTAACCTTTGACACCAGTCTTGGTGTTTGGTGACAGGAGAAGCCTCATCATGTCACAGGATGGTGGAAAGTCGGAGGTTTGATGCCAGGCCACTTCCTACCAAAGGACATTAAATGACAGTAATTGTTCCCAGCCTTGATGTACAGCACTGATGGGATAAACATGGTATGAGAAACTTGAAAATAATCTGGAAAACAAAACCTGGTTGGTCTTCACATCATTTGGGTGGTGTATACTCTACTCCCTCCTTCTGACTGACTGACTGATTTTGGTTTTACGCCGCTTTTAGCAATATTCCAGCAACATCACGGCAGTGGACACCAGAAATGGGCTTCACACATTGTACCCATGTATGATTCGAACCGGGTCTCATGGCAAGCCAACGCTTTAACCATTAGGCTACCCCACTGCCCCCCTCCTTCTGAGTAGATCTGACAAGGTCATCATAGTCAGTATCAGACCAATCACCTGTATGAGTGCAAGCTCAAGGCAAGTATAATGCTCAATGACCGATCATCTGTTTGGGGTCAAGGGCACCCGTAACATCAGGTTTTACTAACCTGTAACCTATGTACCTTCATGAAAACTTCCGTTTAAGTGAGTGAGTGAGTATTGGTTTACGCCGCTTTTAACAACATTCCAGCAATATCACAGCAAGGGGACACCAGAAATGGGCTTCACACATTGCAACCATGTGAGGAATCGAACTCGGGCCTTCAGTGTGACGAGCAGACACTTTAACCAATAGGCTACCACACTGCCCCACTTCCGTTTAAGCTGTATGGGGACCCATATATTGATACACTTATATGAATGTGGACCCTTGGGATCTGTAACTGTTGCTTGATATGCACTGGTTATATGAAACAATTGCACCTTTCCTTCAGGTCCAGCGACTAGCCCAGGACACTCATGTCAGTTTTGCTATGGTCAAGAACTGATGCCCTGGCAATCTAAAGATCTGCCTGGGTCTTTTGGGAACTGATTATCTTTGGAAAAATACTTGTTAGTTCGAGGGTTTCTTTTATTGAAAACCCCCCAAAAAACAAAAAAGAACGCACACACTTCATGTCCAACTGCTGATTACCTTATTGTTGGGACATCGAAAGGACTGAACTTCTCTATCAGGGTAGGATCCATCGGGACACAGACTCTACCTGAAGTGATTCAGGGTCGACATTACATTTGGACAGACAGATTAAAAAATTAATGCAACATACTTCTGCATATATATACACAGATGACAAAAATTAATGCAACATTTATAAAGATACTAAATTTTGGACGATGACAGCTTGGTATAATATTACTGAGTTTTCAGGTCAACTTCCAACAACTGACAATTTCACCTTTGTCTCACCCTCAGACTCTGACAACCACCCCCCTAGACTGACAATCACAGACCTAGAGTGACAATCACAGACCTAGAGTGACAATCACAGACCTAGACTGACATTCACAGACCTAGTTTCTGACAAGCACACACCCTTAGCCCCTGACCACATCACCAGTAGCAGTGATTATTCCCACACCCACTCAATGGCAATCTCACCCCACACATGATATACAGTCCACACGCACCCTTACATGTACCTGTTTTAGGATGGACACAGAAAGGACTCTTGAGAAGATGGTTAACTCCCTTGCTGACGTTCACGTCCAGTCGAGGGTAACAATACTGTAGTAGTATTTCCTCCTTCAGATGGCGTAGTTTCTTGTTTCTGTATTTCTCCTGAAACAGGATGTCACATGCTACAGATGGTCAAGATATGACATTCTACCACACAGTCAGTACAGGTACGACATCCTACAACAAAGGTCAGTTCAGGTATGACATCCTACAACAAAGGGTCAGTTCAGGTATGACATCCTACAACAAAGGAGTTAGTTCAGGTATGACATCCTACAACAAAGGGACAGTTCAGGTATGACATCCTACAACAAAGGGTCAGTTCAGGTATGACATCCTACAACAAAGGGTCAGTTCAGGTATGACATCCTACAACAAAGGGTCAGTTCAGGTATGACATCCTACAACAAAGGGTCAGTTCAGGTATGACATCCTTCAACAAAGGGTTAGTTCAGGTATGACATCCTACAACAAAGGGTCAGTTCAGGTATGACATCCTTCACAACAAAGGGTCAGTTCAGGTATGACCTCCTACAACAGTTCAGGGTCATGGTATGACCTCCTACAACAAAGGGTCAGTTCAGGTATGACATCCTACAACAAAGGGTCAGTTCAGGTATGACATCCTACAACAACAAAGGGTACATCCTACAACAAAGGGTCAGTTCAGGTATGACATCCTACAACAAAGTTCAGGTATGACATTCAGTTCAGGTATGACATCCTACAACAAAGGGTCAGTTCAGGTATGACATCCTACAACAAAGGGTCAGTTCAGGTATGACATCCTACAACAAAGGGTCAGTTCAGGTATGACATCCTACAACAAAGGGTCAGTTCAGGTATGACATCCTACAACAAAGGGTCAGTTCAGGTATGACATCCTACAACAAAGGGTCAGTTCAGGTATGACATCCTTCAACAAAGGGTCCCCCACAACAAAGGTCATGACATTCAGGTTCAGGCATGACCTCCTACAACAGTTCAGTTCAGGTATGACATCCTACAACAAAGGGTCAGTTCAGGTATGACCTCTTCCATCAAAGGTTCAGTTCAGGTATGACCTCCTACAACAAAGGGACATCATACAACAAAGGGTAAGTTCAGGTATGACATCCTACAACAAAGGTCAGTTCAGGTATGACATCCTACAACAAAGGGTCAGTTCAGGTATGACATCCTACAACAAAGGTCAGTCAGTTCAGGTATGACATCCTACAACAACAAAGGGTCAGTTCAGGTATGACCTCCTACAACAAAGGGTTAGTTCAGGTATGACATCCTACAACAAAGGGTCAGTTCAGGTATGACATCCTACAACAAAGGGTCAGTTCAGGTATGACATCCTACAACAAAGGGTCAGTTCAGGTATGACATCCTACAACAAAGGGTCAGTTCAGGTATGACATCCTACAACAAAGGGTCAGTTCAGGTATGACAGGTAGTTCAGACATCCTACAACAAAGGGTCAGTTCAGGTATGACATCCTACAACAAAGGGTCAGTTCAGGTATGACATCCTACAACAAAGGGTCAGTTCAGGTATGACATCCTACAACAAAGGGTCAGTTCAGGGACATGACATCATCCTACAACAAAGGGTCAGTTCAGGTATGACCCCCATATGACATCCTACAACAAAGGGTCAGCATCCTACAACAAAGGGTCAGTTCAGGTATGACATCCTACAACAAAGGGTCAGTTCAGGTATGACATCCTACAACAAAGGGTCAGTTCAGGTATGACATCCTACAACAAAGGGTCAGTTCAGGTATGACATCCTACAACAAAGGGTCAGTTCAGGTATGACATCCTACAACAAAGGGTCAGTTCAGGTATGACATCCTACAACAAAGGGTCAGTTCAGGTATGACATCCTGCAACAAAAGGTCTAGGCTTACCACAGTCAGTGACTCCTCCACCCGTCTGACTATGATCGACCATCTGTTGGCCGAGTTGGTTCCAGTTTTTGTAAAATCTTCCTTCAGCTGTTCACGGAACTCTAAAATACAACAAATATGTTTTTGTCACCTTTTATAGTCCGGTATAGCAAAATGCACAATAACCTCCTCTCCAATTGACAAATTTAGTCAGGCACTGCCAGACATTTTTCTATTATAATTGTAACCAAAGTTAATTTTGGAGCCTCAGACAAACTCTCGGAATATGAACCACAAAACAGATATATCATACAAGCAGTTAACTCCACCATTTAATTTAACCCCAATTTGTCACAAAACATCATTTTCAGTAGATATTGGTCTAAATGTATGGACTTTTAATAGCTAAGCTTACTTGACCAAGAGCCGTCTTACTAGACTCTGGCTACCAACAAGTCACTGTTACACTTGGCTTTGACCTAACCTGCGTCAGGGACGAGAGACAAAACCTTGTCCCATCTCTCCTCTGTGTCCAGGAAGTCTTGGCTGTGGCAGGCGTAGTCCACAAAGTGCTTCTCGATGATTGTCAAGGCACGTCTGTAACAATCACAGTCATTGCTAAATAATAAGTATATTCTATTTCTGGGCTTCAGGAGAGTGAGTGAGTGAGTAAGTTTAGTTTTACACCGCACTCAGCAATATTCCAGCTATATGGCGGCGGTCTGTAAATAATCAAGTCTGGACCAGACAATCCAGTGATCAACAACATGAGCATCGATCTGCGCAATTGGGAACCGATGACATGTGTCAACCATGTCAGCAAGCCTGACCACCCGATCCCGTTAGGTGCCTCTTACGACAAGCATGGGTTACTGAAGGCCAATATTCTAACCCGGACCTTCACAGGTAGCTTCAGGAGAGAAACTTAAATCAACTTTAATGGGAACTGATGATAACTCTTCCCTGGCCAACTTGTTTCTTTCAAACTTCTCAATTGGTGACAAACTGTAAAATTATTTGAAGTTCTAAATATATGTTGTTGTTTAACACTGCAGTCAGCAGTATTCCAGCTATTTATGACGGTCTGTAAGTAATCGAGTCTGGACCAGACAATCCAGTGACTAATGGGGGGGGCATGATGACAAGCATTCTTCACAAATGAATCACATGTCCATTTTGTAGCCCAAACAACTAAATTTCAAAACACAATTTATTTTGTCAATAATTAGATACACCAACATTTATGAACTGACTACCAGCTGAACTTGTCTTGCAGCAAAATTTTCCACATAGCTAACTCTTATTCTCAATTCATCCCTTGAGGTGGTGGTGGTGTAGTGGGAATTGGGTTTAACGTCGTGCTTGAGAATATTTCGCCATATGACAACGCATGCGTGTGTTTATGTATGTGTGGCTGCTTGTACTAGCCCAGACTTAAGCTGGTTTTATAGTGCTAGCCCACTGAGATACCATGCCGCAGTGAAGCATGAATACCCCACTCAGACACATTATACTGACTCCGAGCCGACCAGTCCTTGTTGTACCCATTAATGCCGAGCGCCAGGCAGGGACCAACAAGTACCATATTTTAACATCTTTTGGTATGACGCGGTCGGGGATCGAACCCGCGACCTTCCGCACTCCGGGCGGACGCTCTAACCACTACACCACGGAGGCGGTCCATCCCTTGAGGACTCGAACAGGCAGTTGTGAGTGTGTGGGATAAAGCTCATACTTGTCATAAGAATCGCCCCAAAGAATAGAATGGTCAAGCTTGGTCACGTGGTTGACTGCATGCCATCTAAACCTTATATTCTTTGTTGCTTGTAGTATGAATCACTGGTTTGTCTGGTCCTGACTTGAACACTTCAGGCAGAATTGTAGCTGGAATACTGCTGATGGCAGAGTTACACAACATACAAACAAACAAACAAAAAACCCTACAGATATTGCTGGAACTACGACAGCAGCTAAAGGAAGACGACAATGTATGATGTACTTACTTCACAGAAGGATGCATTCGATCATCAACTGTCACCTTCTTGGTTTGATTGTCTCCTCCCTAAATAACAGAGAAAGGTGTTGAACGTATACACTCACATCCACACACGATACAGTCCGTGATGTCCAAGTGTATTAGAGGTGTGACGATACAGAAATTTCACAATACGATAAGTACCACGATATCTTGGAACGATACGATTCGATTCGATGCATATCACGATATGCTTTCTTCAGTTATTTTCTTTAAAAAATTATATTTTAATAGCAAGAAATTTTGACATAACCGTCAATATCTAATGAAAATTAACAATTTTAAGGTCAACGATACATATCACGATACGATAAAACGTATCGATATATTTATCGTCAAATACAGTATCACGATTATCGATACTACGATATATCGTCACAGCTCTAAAGTGTATATCCAGCCAGGCCACTGTATTGAACAGCATGCACTAGGAAACAACTGAAGGTGGTTTATGTCTATTGATACCATTATAACAGAAGGAGACACTCTGAGGGAACAATTAATTCACATCAACATTGCATTTGATGTTTTCGCATTCAACCATGATACACACAAGATTTACTCTAGTCTTCACAAATAGAACAGACAATTAAAACACTGAACAAAATATTTCTTATTAAAAATGTGAATTAAGTTGGGAATAAAGACCAGTGATAAAAGATTTGAATCAGAGTTGGAAATTAGGGTGGTTAGGGGAGACTGACAACAAAATGACAAGAAACCCTTAGTCTTCATGCAGTTTCTGACTTCATAAATAACTGAAGCCATGTCTGAAATATTGATAGTCCGGGACATCAGGCAAGCAGTTATTCCAATCACTGCTGACAGGTAAATCATACCATGTACATCAAATGTTAAATGTGATCTCATTAATCAGTCTCTCTGCAAGTTACCTTGACAACGCTGAGGTACTCAGCAATGGCTGACCTGGCTGCCTGTGAGAGTTTGCGGGCACCTTCATCGCACACCCAGCAATGGATGCCTCGGCGCCCGGAATACACCCACAACAGGTGCTCATACCCGAAGTCATCTGGAGATCAAAAACTCATAGTTTGATAATGTTCAATGCCAGTAATATTCCATCTAAATTAGAGTGGCTGGTGAATAATCATGTTTGGTCGAGACAATTCTGGAGATTAATATTGTGAGCAATTACTCTCACCATCAGGACATGTTAACCACACAATCGATGAGGTCATGTCTTCACACCAGCATAGGCTGCTATGCACCATTCCAACTTAGAACTCCTATGACACATTTCATATTGTTTACAACCACTTGCAGCCCCATTTCCATTTTGACAAACACTTGAATAAAGCACTTCACCTTTGTCAATGTTGTCAAAAAAAAACATATTAAAAAAATTAGCCAAAATAATTGTCCACTGTCTGCTGGAAGAAGTCAAAGGCAGAAAATCACTGGCAATGGCGGTGGTCCATTTCAGACAAAATCTTAAAGCAGTCCTCTTCCTAGGCTGCTGCGCGGTGGGCTAGCCTAGTGGTTAATGGTGTTCCCTCGTCACGCTGAAGACCCAGGTTAGATTCCCCACATGGGCACAATATGTGAAGCCCATTACTGGAGTCCCCTGCCATGATATTACTGGAGTATTGCAGCGTAAAACTAAATTCACTCCTAGGCTGCTTATAATGATCAAATCAAAAGCGACAATTCTTTAAAGGTCACATGCAATGCAGATTCTGATACCTTTCGGTATGGACTTACAAAAATGCAAATTCAACTTATAAAGCAGTGAAAATGTGTGTGCCTGCCTGCCTGCTAATGACAATATGCTATACACAACTTCAATCACTGACCACATGCAATTTGAACCTATCAGGCTATACACCATAAACAAAACACATTGATTTATGGCTTGTGCACCTGAGTTCTGTCTGTCACATTATGTAATTACACAGACAGGCAGGTGTGATACTTGTACACATGGCATGTATGGTGTCTGTTGATTTCAAAATGTTATACACAAAAATGAGCATGTATTTACAAAACCCAACATCTCTATACACACACAAAGAGCCCTGAGTGTATTGGCAAATGAACCAGCCAATGAAAGACTTTGTTACACTTGAGTGCACCCCACCCACTCTGAATGGGGTTCGGTATCACGGCTGCATCGTTTCAAGGGAAGTAAACCCAAGTACAAAATATTGCACTTTTGATTTGCGATTGTAAGCTTATAATTTTGTTTATTTGCTTTTTCATAATCAGCAATGTATATTATATGTCATGAATAAGTGATAATTGTGTTTTAATTATGTTTGTTTTTTGGATGCAGTTGACCTTTAAGATGGGTAACATCTGAGAAAATTATAAACTACTGGTCTTCCATTCACAGAAGGGCTAAACAAAGCATAGAAATCATGTATGAGGAGGATATTAACACAGTACCTCTGAGGGCCGCATCAAGGATCTTCACTGCAATGATCATAAGTGGCCAACACTTGTCGCAGATCTCGGCACCCCTGGAACACAATCATAACTAAATCTACACGCAACCAACATGACAGGGGTTCAATTTCTTTTTTAAAAGGCAGGGGTGGAAATAACCCATTGCCCGTCCGAGTCAAGATTTTTTCTATTGGGCACTTGCCCACACTGTACCGGTGTCCAGTTGACTTTCCAACGTTAATCATGTTGTTTATTTAAAAATCAACAAGAAAACGTCCGGTATAGTGGAAAAATTATGAGAGCAAGTGATTTTATATGTGCCACTGTACCGGAGTACCCTAGCAATTTTAAAGTTATTTCCACTCCCGAAAGGCCCCTTGTCCTGACTAAAGAGTGATTGAGAATGGTTTTATGCCGCCTTTAGCAATATTCCAGCACTATCACGGCGGGGGACACCAGAAATGGGCTTCACACATTGTACCCAGGTGGGGAATAGAACCCAGGTTTTAGGCGTGAAGAGTGAACGCTTTAACCATTGTAATTATGAAAGAATAAATCAACATGGTATTTGATGTTAATGTCTACTGGACTTTTTATTTCTCCTTTACAGGTAATAATTGTCATTATTTTTTTTTATATAGAACAGTCTCTGACTCTCACATTGTAGAAAGGTAATTAAGACATTAGGACTTGTAAATATTGAGCACGATTTCCGTCTGTATCCACGAGGCATGGGGTAAAGAACACTTTTGTCAATGGGTGCTCAAAATTCAGAGTAGAATATCTGAAAATTCATGATAGTTCAGCAGTTCATGCCGAGTGTTTGTCATATTATATTCTCAGCAGTGAAACCAGTGAGTTGGTGGTTGGGTCAAGCCATGATAAAGTAATCATAACTGTATTGGTATATTTCTTCGTCGTAAAGTAACTATGGCCAATTTGAACACCAAGATTTCTGAAATTGTCTACAACCTTTCTTGTTGTCGGATTTTTTATCTTTCGACTGTCTGGTGCAAACATCTGCCCTCCTTTTAAAAAACTATCGATCAGCTTCTGTGACATTTTATAAGATCAAAGGTGAAACTCAGTCGTCTGCTATTCTGTCTTGGCCTGACTGTTGACTCAAGTGCATGCCAGCTTTCTTGTCAGTGATTGGTCAGTAATGCTGTAATGATGCATTTAACTATCAGTGAATTGCAATTATTGAGTCTCCAATAGCAATTAATCGATGGTAGAAATGAAAAACTATTGATGCATCGATAGTATGTGTGACTATCGATAGTTTAGTAATTTTAATAGCTACATTTCGAGCAGACATGAAATGAATTCCGAGTTTATTTAATTCATTGAAACCATAAGCATCGCAGAAATTATCTGGTAGCCCACGGACAAATAAGATACCGTTATTTGATGACCTGAAATGAAAACTGACTTGTCCCGGGCATCGGGCAATGGGATTTTTGAACCCCTGCATAATCTGTTTGTTTGCTTTGTTTGTTATTGAACACCACACTCAGCAATATTCCAGCTATGTGGCGGTGGTCTGTACAAAATCAAGTCTGAATCAGACAATCCAGTGATCAACAGCATAAACATCGATCTACGCAGCTGAGATGCGATGAAATGTCAACCAAGTCAGCGAGCCTGACCACCTGATCTCGTTAGTCGCCTCTTACGACAAGCATGGGTTGCTGAAGACCAATTCCAAGCCGCATCTTCACAGGTCTCCAACACGATCAAGGTGAGTTTGGTCTCAAATACAATTTGGACCAAAATAACATGAACTTCATTTTGTATCTTTCTTGCTTACATTATCAACTTGATCAAAGCAAAAAATTTCTCTTACACACCTCATCACTGTTTCCATGCAATTATAATTTATCGACCCATGAAGGTCCAGGTTAGAATATTGATCTTCAGTAACCCATGCTTGTTGTAAGAGGTGACTAACAGGATCGGGTGGTCAGGCTTGCTGACTTGGTTGACACATGTCAAGCTCAAGCTGTTGATCACTGGTTTGTCTGGTCCAGATTCAATTATTTACAGACCGCCGCCATGGCTGGAATGTTGCTGAGTGTGGCGTAAAACTAAATTCACTCACTCACTCACTCACTATAATTTATCAGTCCACTATGTCAAAAATACTGGGACATTCAATACTTTGGATAGATCAGGCTATATTCCACCAGGATGTGGTATATTTACCAATGAAATATATATATAGTTATTCATTGGTATATATCAGTGTTCACGAATAGCGTCTGACCCTCTGACAAATCCGGCAGATTCGCCGGTGGTCAGGTGGAAGTCTACCACCTGCTGGCCCCAGTGTCCGACTGTATATTTCACAATGACTTTGACTGAAGTTGTCGTATGTGACACATCACACTTGTTTGCTGTTTACAAATTTTACGTTTGTTAATAATGTCAATGCCACTTATAAGAAGTGTTAAATCTGAAATGTGTGTTTAATTTTTATTCTATGGGTCCTGTGAATTTTCAGTGGGTCAGACAGACCTCTGAAACTTACAGGACGCAATGTCCTGTTACTTTGAAACACCATTCGTGAACACTGATGTATGTATGTATGTATGTATGTGTGTGTGTGTGTGTGTGTGTGCGTGTCTTGGGGGTGGGTGGGGGGTGGGTGGGTTTAATAGTATAGTATAGTATAGTATAGTATAGTATAGTATAGTATAGTATAGTATAGTATAGTATAGTATAGTATAGTATAGTATAGTATAGTAAAGTATGGTATAGTATAGTACAGTATAGTATAGTATTAGTTACTGGAAGACAGAAACTCTGACAATGTCAGGTGAAAACTTCTTGCTATTTGCAAGAATTGGCTAAGTGCTGAACAGCAATATTTAACCTATTATGCCCAGTAACAAAAAAAGGCTCAGTGGAAATAAACAACCTTGAGCCCCAAAAAGAGTGTATAAGCTGAGAGAGTGAAGTCGCTATGTAAGCTTGGACCAGATGAACCAGTTAACAGTGTTAACTCTTACGACAAGCATGGGTTGCTGGAGATCAATTCTAACCCGGATCTTCACGGGTATGGAAACTTGCATGAAGATAGAACTAGATGCTTTCACTTTTGTGTTATGCATCATAATCATTTTCAATAAATCACACATTAACAGAACTTCTGTGACAGGGAACTTGCTCAATTGTTCTAACTTCTATTTTAAGTAGAGCTGTAACGATGCATCGAACTATCGATGGATTGCAATTGTTGAGTCTCCGATAGCAGTTAATCGATGGTAGAAACGAAAAACAATCGATGCATCGATAGTATGTGTGACTATTGATCGTTTAGTAATTGACTTCCGTTGACAAATATTTATGCTGTTTTGTATTTTTTTATTGTTTGGGTGCAGTCTTGCAGCTTCATTGAGTTTATGTTTTAACTGTTTGATCGGGGTTTCAAGTTTCTTGTCAGTTATTAAAAGAGACTGAAACTACTTGAACTTGTTATTATTTCATATAAACTATACATTCATTTGAGAAATGACTTCAAATGAGACAATTCAAGGAGAAAAAAAACCTATTGCAATAGTTGTTTCCCCCTCAATAGTCACCCCTAATTTTAAGGATTATAAAGTGATGTGCAACCCATAAAATAAGAAGATGAAAATAGTGGCATTACAATTTATTCCTGTAACATAAGAGAAACATGTAATTTTTAAAGTAAAATTGATATTTTATACTTAACCTGACTCATGCTTATTTGCTTTGCTCTTTCTTCTATGCGAATGGTAGTGGAACACTTAGAATCCCTTGTAGTTCCCTGAAGAGGACGTAAAAGTTCTCTCACCCACGAGTTGCCTCCTTTTTCCCGCCAAAACAGTCATGTGACCTGCCATGCTTGTCACTCTCTCCTGAATAAGCCCATGCACCTGGGTTTGCTGGGAAACCCGAAGTGTCTTCTGCAGGGAGGTTGGGAAGGCTTGACATCATGAGCCAGGATAAGTATAAAAATGTAATTTTTTAAGTAAAATTGATATTTTATACTTATCCTGACTCATGATCTTTTGCTTAGCCCCCTTTCCCTTGCGAATGGTAGTGGAACACTTGAATCCCTTGTAGTTCCCAAAGCAGACGTAAAAATACACTCACCCACAAGATACCTCCCTTCTTTCCCTGCAAACAGTCATGTGACCAGCCTTACTTGTCACTCTCTCCTGATTTTTCTGCCCATGCACCTGGATCTACTGTGAAATCCGAAGTGTTTCCAGCGGGGAGGTTGGGAGGGCTTCTCCTCATGAGTCAGGATAAGTATATAATATCAATTTTACTTAAAAAACTACATATTTTTCCTTATCCTGACTCATGATCTTTTGCTTATAGAATCCTACGGATTGGTGGTGGGTCAAGCCACTTCCTGGATTCAACAGCTGTCCATAGATACGTCCTGTATCCCCCTCATGGGAACTGCATAACAGCATTTCCTAGATCCTATTCTTCCAACTTCCGTTGTAACTCGGGGACCACCATCTTGTCTTACTTCTCTCTCAGACAAGTGAATCTTGTAGATTCATGTGGTTTAAGATATACTAGTATCTTCGTTTTACTAGTTATCTATAACAACCCATCGATTATGATAAGATCTTTAGTTCCTTTCAGATATCTAAGGTGACATAGATATTCCTCCACTTGAGGATGAGGCGCTTTCATAGCCGTGAAGCCCTTCCGCCTTGCATATTGCTCAAGTTTCTGCCATTTGTCGTCATACAAATTGCGAGTAGATCTGCGTAACGCTAAGATTACTGCTTTCGCTGCTCTGGCGGAGTATCCTCTTTTCTTCAGACAGGTTTTGATACGGTCCACACGTGTAGCTGGAACAATGTTGGGTTCCTGTGGATTTGCTTGGTGTGGGGATGTCTGAGTAGGTTCGGCCATTCTGGTAGTTTGAGGGTTGGACTTCCCAGATCTTCTATTAGGTCTAGGAACCAGACCCTCGCTGGCCAATAGGGCGCGACCAAAGTCAGTTATAGTGCTTGTGTCTGTTTGATCTTCAACAGTAATTTCGGCAGAAAAATCGGAGGTGGAAACGCGTAAGCGTTTAGTCCTTCCCATGATATGCTCAGTGCATCTGTTGCCCAGGCTTGTGGGCAACGCATGTCACAATGCAATACATAATATATCATCACATCACATCGAAATTTTGTTTTAGAATATAGGTGTCGAGCAAGCTTGTGGGTCTGGTACTGGTGAGACAAATGTCTGTAGTTGTTTGTTGAACCTCGTGGCGAACAGGTCTATGCATGGGGATCCTATTTCCCTTATGATGAGCAGGAACGCTTCTGGATGGAGCATCCATTCCGAGGGTGACGAGTGAATTGGTCGGGAAAGAGCGTCTGCTAGTACGTTCTTGTCTCCCGGTATGTGACACGGCTTTATCCAGATGTTTGCCTTCTCTGTGATGTTGAACAACTGGAATGTGAGCTGCAATAGGCTTGGCGATCTTGTTGATCCTTGCCGATTTATGGAGAATGCCACTGTAGAGTTGTCCATGTGGATCATCAGCATTCTGTTGCTCAGCGAACTCGACCATAGTTGTACGGCGTTGATCACAGCTTTCATTTCTAGCAGATTGATGTGAAGATGCTGTTCTGCATTTGACCACTTCCCTGATGCAACCTGGTTGTTGAGATGTGCACCCCATCCTTGTAGCGATGCATCTGCGTAGAGATGTGTGTCGAAGACCGGCTCTTGTAAATAGGTCCCTGCGCAGACATTCGACCTGTGAATCCACCAAAGTAGGTACACTTTGAGATGATCTGGTAGTGAGATAGGGTCGCTGCTGTCCAGATGTTTTGCCAGGAATCGTTGCAATGGCCGTAGTTGTAACCTTCCTGTGCGAGTCAAGTCTTGTGCTGAGGTTAGTAGACCGAGTAGACATTGCAATGTTCGTAGTGTTAACGGAGAGATGACTGCTTGAGGAATCATGGCTTGTATCTTGACCCAACGATCTTCTGGGGTCACAATTCGATTCTGTGTTGTGATGAATCTTATCCTCAGTAATTCTACGCTGCTCATATAAACCTCTTGAATAAGGGTTGCTACAAGTGTAAATTATTGTTCAGTGATATTAATCACGTATTCCCAATGTGGATAATATAAGCCAGCATGACGAAGGAGGCTGTCGAGACGTATGTCTGTATGGATCTTGAAGAAATACTGATGTTGAATCTAGTTGATAGGATATAGATTCCTAATCCCCACGCTGAGTGACGAGTGTTAATAATATTATCTGTACGTCCGTTCAAGGATACTTGTAGGCGTTGTTAACCTTTACGAAGGTTGCCTTGAGGTTCTCCAGTACTTGAGATATCGGCTTCATAGGTGATATGATATTGGAGTCGAAGTCATCAGCATATATGCAGTATGTCTCTGTTGGGTTGGAGTGAGTGAGTGAACGTCAATACCAGCAGGCCATCTGCTACCCAGGATAAGACCTCCGCATCCGTGTAGATGAAGGGATTCCCCTCATCAATAATAATAATAATTGGCTTGTATAGCGCCTAGTTTCCATCAGAGATGCTCAACGGCGCTGCATACATCGTTTAAAACACAATAAGTGTGAAAAGAGTTCTATTCAGAAGCCATCTTGAAGAAGTAGGTTTTGAGCAAGTTCTTGAATTGTGAATGGGACTCAGTTCGTCTGAGGGTGACTGGAAGATTGTTCCACAGAGCTGGTGCTGCTACAGAAAAGGCTCTATCACCCATTGATGTTTTAGTGCTTGGCTGTGTTAGTCTTAACGTATCTTTTGATCTAAGAGCTCTGGTGGGTACATGCAGATGTACAAGCTGGCGAAGGTAGTCACAGGACTGGTCATCGTAGAGGCAGTTATGAGTCAGTAGCAGAATCTTGAAGTAGATCCTGTACTTTACTGGAAGCCAGTGAAGGGATTTCAGAACTGGCGATATATGGTCATGGCGATGGGTTCGAGAGACCACACGAGCTGCTGCGTTTTGAATTTTCTGCAATTTAGAAAGTGTTGAAGATGCCGTGTTGCAAAAGAGTGAGTTGCAATACAAGTGATTACAAGTGTTTGCATTAGGAGCTAGGTTGTTGTCCAAAACTGGACCTGCTACAGGTGTAAGGTTCGTGCAGCTTGTAGATTTGTGCAAGCTGTAAGCTGTAGAGATCGCACATGTTGTTGATCTTTTGTTGTTGAGTTATAAGCGCTGACAAAACCATCTGTTTCCATTCTGACTGCGGATTCTTGAATGTTTTATTCATTGCTTCGTTTTTATTCAGCGTATGTTAATAGAGTCGACGTCAACATCCTGCCTGTTGATCTAAGGGTACGCGAACCCTATGGACGTCCGAACCTTGTAGATGTCTGCGTTGCTGATATCTGCTTGTTGATGTGTTCGCGAACCTTGTAGATGCCTGCGTTGCTAATATCGCTTGTTGATCTGAGGGTTCATAAACCCTGTAGATGTCTGCGCTGCCTCTTCTCGAAACTTCCTTTCGCGAACCATCCCTTCACGAACCCTGCCTTCTCGCGAACCTTCTCTTCGCGTGTGAGAGCTGTGGGATCTAGATCTGGAACGGCTGGCTCTTGGGGATGGATTCCTAGGCGTTCTCGAACGTTGAGGGTTCGCAGACGAAGTTCTGGTGGAGATAGTAGCCTAGCGAACCTTCCATCTTGTTCAATGATGACAGAGTCGTCCGGTTGTGATGACCTTCTCGAACGTACACGTTCGCCAACGTTATCTGCAGATGTAGATCTGTGAGGCGTCCTAGGTTTGCGTAGTTCTGAGGGTTTGCGAACGTTGTCAGTTGATGAGAGGTTCTGTCGTGCCTTCGCTTCCTCATCAAAATGTCGTTCCATCATGGCCATCATTTGTGTAGTAAATTGCCTCATGAAGTCACCTGGATCAAGTTCTGCGTTGACTGGAACTGATTCAGCGTTGATGAAGCGTTCGCGAACGATGATGTATTGTGTGCTTCAACTTCACTGCGTTGAGAAGTTGGTGGTTGGTCGTCAAACAGCTGGCCCGCTGTTGTAGTTGCAGGAGACGATCTAGTAGTCGTGGAGGTTGACTGCATCGCCGATCTAGTAGGTACTTCAGGCAGAAGTAACGGTGGTTCATCAAACACGACTGCCTCGTGCAGTAGGATGATCTCCTCATTAAAGACCTCTGATGAGTTGACTTGCTAGGTCGTGTTGATTTCGATGTTGACCTAGTTATAGATGCCCTTTTCTGTGTTGTGCATGAAGCAGTAGTCTTTTTCTTACTCTGAGAGGGCGTCAACTCAGTGGTAGCAGACCTCTTTTTCGACCCCGTAACAGACGACTGCCCCTGCAACGTTCTCAACACAGCACCAGAATTATGTATTTCTGCAGTAGCAAATAACCTACGGTTACCAGCTTGATCGCCAGGTTTATCAATCGTGGCTGGTGATGACTTCCTCACCTGATCCATGGTACGTCTATAGATGTACGATAAACACTGATTAAATTGCAAATCTGATAAATTAATACAGTATCTGTAACGCAAGCTGGAAGAACATGGATTAATGCATGACGGACATTGGGGGTGAGGATCAGCCGCTGATAACCGGTACCTGCAAACACTGCAAGATTTCATCAAATGTAAACAATTACATTATGATGAGAAAAAGTGACAAAATATGAATAATTTTTCAAAATTTTGGCATACGATTAAAGTTAAATATAACCAGAAACCATACACAGCTAAATTTGGATGAAAGGATCTAAATATCAAAGGATATGGTGCCGTATACAGGACTCCAGTGCTCGCCCAAACGCTTGGGCGATGAAAGAGAGAATGACAAGCATGGCAGGTCACATGACTGTTTTGGCGGGAAAAAGGAGGCAACTCGTTTGTGAGAGAACTTAAAGTCCGTTTTAGGGAACTACAAGGTATTCATGTGTTTCACTACCATTCGCTTAGAAGAAGGAGCAAAGCAAATAAGCATCAGTCAGGATAAGGTAAAATCGCGAAATTTGTCTGATGTACTCACGAGCAGCAGTTGCGGACGTCATCGTAATCTGTCATGTCAATGTCAAACACCAGTTCCTTCTCTTGGGCCTGGAAGGATGCTGCCTTCACTGTCTTGTGTTCCTTCGGCTGAAATAGTTACAGCACTCCAGCCTTAACATGCTCAAAGGTCAAGTCTACATTGTAATGCAGCAGTATCTCACCATAGAACATTTAATTTTATTACAGCCAAACCAATCATATTTCTTGTTTTACGGATCCGCTGGTCGTATTTTTTCAAGAATAAGAAAAAAAATAAAAGTTTATAATAGTTTCTTCCACCAGGATGGAAATTTCCAAATGGAGGAGAAAGAGAGAAAGAAACCAATTCGTACTAGAAATCTGAAATGTGAGGAAGAACCTATACATCCTTTGAAGAATGATGATAATTTGACGGATATACAACTTCTTATTCTGTGAAAGGCGACGTTTCGACATAGATTCTATTGTCGTTATCAAGCAAGTGACATCATATCGCCTTTCACAGAATTCAAGTTGTACATCCATAAAATTATCATCCTTCATCACCTCAGCTTAAAAAATGCCCATCAAAGAAGTTAAATACATCTTTTGTTCTTGGATCTTCATGCAGAGAGCTTGTATTGAGGTTGATGGAGTTGCAGTGATTTCATTTGAGTGAAATAAATTATAAACTAGCAAACATGGTAAATGGTCCAAATGGTATGTTGAGGGTGGAGGTTTCATCTCCCCTATTCCCAACACTTAAAGAGATTTTACAATGCAGAGATGCCAACCCTAATTTAGCCCAATTAGTATTTTGGCCAAAAACTGATGCAAAAACTAGTATTTTTTGGCAAACATTAGTATTAACCTTTCCAAAGAATTTTCATATTTAATACAGAAAATATACACATTCTAAGAACTTGTTATTAACATTGTACTCACCTATATCAGTAGCAAGTATCCACATATTACCTGATGCTGAATAAAATGTTGTTGCAATTTATTGTGTATGGTACATATGCTATTGATAATTTAATGTATTTTTTTTTAAAATTGTATATTTTTACTGCTATCATAGTCGAGTATTTTGAGTTAATTTTTCGTAACGAATACGAGAAAATCGTATGAGTTGGCATCTCTGTACAATGTCTTCTACTACTGGGAGAACTTTTATGCTTCATGATTCAAAACAGTGGCAAATACATTACACCATGTTACAACTTACCCTGTGAGAGAAAATGGCCCCAATATCTATCTTGTACGGACATCGCTTCTGGATCTCTTTCTCCAGCTCCTGCTGGTCAGAGAATGACTGGTACCGAATATATACGTCATCTTTCAGTGTGAAGGAGAACTCTCTGTGTGTGAAGTAGTGTTTGGGTACTGTAAAACAGCAGAGACAATAAGATAGGTTGGTTGTTTTTAATGCCACACATATATGGCAGCGGTGGGTAAATAATCAAGACTGGACCAGACAATCCACATCATGAGCATCGAACTACTCAATTGCAGGGCTCGATTTAAGAGATTTTAACCTACTTGCACCAGGTGCAACCTAAGATAAAAAACTAGTTGCACCAGTCAAATTCCAGTTGCAATGTTTGTATTGCAATATGTAATATCAGAAATATGCTATTGCATTATTTAGATGTTTTATTCAGAAGTTTACCCACTCAAAAATTGACTTGGGCCTGGTGCAAGTTAGACTAATAACTAGGTTGCACTTTGTAATATTGGCTTGCACCAGTGCAAGTAACAAAGCACTAAATCGAGCCCTGAATTGGGATACAATGACATGTGTCAAACCTGACCAACCAATCCTGTTAGTCGGCTCTTATGACAAGCATGGGTTGCTGAAAATCAATTCTTACCCGGAGCGTCACAGGTCAAAACAAATGTAATTTTTAGAGTAAAATTGATATTTTATACTTATCCTGACTCATGCTCTTTTGCTTGTCTTCTTCTTCTTGCGAACATAGTGGAACACTTGTATCTCCTTATTTGAAGCTCCCTTCAAAATAAAATCACTAATTGGTACTCACCACGAGTTGCTCCCCTTTGTCTCCCCTGGCGGGAAAAGGTGTCGCCACCCTCTGGCCATGTGCTCCACTCTCTCCTGATTTAGCGAGCCCAACACTTGAATTTACAGGGAAATCCAAAGTGTTATGTGGGGAGGATGGGAGGGCAACCTCATGAGTCAGGATAAGTATAAAATATCAATTTTACTCTAAAAATTACATATTTTTCCTTATCCTGACTCATGCTCTTTTGTTTGTAGCATCCTACTGAACGGAGGTGGGTAACAGAATACTTTGGATTTATAATTAGTGATTTTGTATAGATATACTGTAATATCTCCCTACGGAACTTCATGAAGTCTTAGATTTAGGATGTTTCCTGTATAAAGAAAACCATAGGTTATATAAAGCCATTAAGGGGAATTACATTATGAATATATTGAACAATACATATAAATTATATATATATATATATAGGTGACTCTGATAGAGGCACTGAAATTGACTATATCCAAGTATATGCTTAAGGTAGAATACTTAAGCTGAACATATATACATAGCCCTAAAACTCCTTAGAGTTATAAGCTAGATGAGTATGTATAAAATACATATTAATCTTGTGAGGCTAATATTTTAACGCCTACGAGGGACTGTCAGTTGCTGAGCCGAGGACCAGTGGTCCGGAATGGTGAATGCCAGAGACATCTTCTGTAGTGATGTCTCTTAGGTAGTGATTAGCAAATACCATGTTAGATTTCCAATAGCATCCTTCCATAATCGCGGTTCAAGGAACAGTTACCGTAGGGCTTAGGGTAGAGGCCAGTGCCCTGATCTCATGTGGATTTGATGCTGTTGGTGGGTCCAAGCCTGCTGCCTTGTAGGCACGGAGAATGACAGTCCTTATCCAAATAGATATTGTAGGTCCGTGACACTTCTGTTTGATTCGTGAGGCTTATAATGGGATGAATAAACGCTTGAGAAATCTTCTCCTTGTTTTGGATCGTCAGAAATAAACTTTGAGCTCTTACCGGACACAGTGATAGGTCTTGTGTATCTTGTGATCCGAGAATAGAGGATAGCCGGATGTGGAATAATCTGTCTGGTTGACCTGGCAGTTGATTCTTTGCAATGAAATCCCATCTTAATCCGAGGTGCGCTGTGTTATGATTGTCATCAAACTGTATCCTCTCGTAATCCAGAGCGTGAATTTCAGACATTCTTGCTGCTGTGGCTAGCGATAGCAGAAACAATGTTTTCTGTGAGAGAAATTCAAAGTTTGTCGATTCCAAGGTTCATAGACCTCACTGTGAGGTGTTGTAACACTACATTCAGATCCCAAGCTGGGGCGTGGAACTTCCGCTTTGGTCCTCCAATCGAAAGCTCGTAGTAAGGCCAGTAACTCTGGAGATCTTGTCAATTTGACACCCGCTCTCATGGTGATTACAGAGCTGCCGCAAGATATGTTGATATCGCTGAACCTTTTAAATGTTTGTTTTACGTAGGTAACACAAATAGTCTGCCACTTGAGGTTGTGAAGCCTCTCTTGCTGTAAACCCTTTCTTTGTTGCATAATTTTCTAAACTGTGCCACTTGTCGCCGCATACAAGCCACGAAGTTGAGTAAAGGCAAGCGTGACTGCTTTTGCCGCCCTGGCAGAATATCCTCTCTTGTTTAAACACATTTGTATACAGTCCATACGTGTAGTTGGAACATTGCTGGGTTTCCGTGCACTTGTTTGGTGTGAGGATGAATTAACAGGTTTGCGCGCTTTGGGTAGCTCCAGTGTTGGTTGACCGATTTCTTGAATTAGTATGGGAAACCATCGCTCTGGCCGCCAGTAGGGCTACCAAAGTGAGTTGTAGGCTCTGTGTTTGTCTGATTTTCTGTAATACTTGAGGTATTATTGCTGGCGGCGGAAACGCACGACGCATTGAGGCCTTCCCATGATAGACTTAGAGCGTCCGCTGCCCAAGCTTGGGGTCTGGAACTGGTGACCCGTAATGTCGGTAGCTGATTGTTGAATCGCATGGCGAATAGGTCTATTAGCGCTCCTAATTGCTTGATTATCTGTGCAAAAATTTCCCGGTTGATCATCCACTCTGTCGGTGATGGTAGATGAGGCCGAGAGAGCGCCTGCTAGTATATTTCTGGCTCCGGAATGTGCACTGCTTTGACATGTAGATTTAGATCTTGTATTAAATCAACAGTTGAAAGCTTAGGTTCAAAAGGTTCATCGATCTCGTTGAGAGCCTTGCTTGTTTATGTAGAACGCCACTGTCGAATTGTCTGTATGGATCATTAGGGCATTTTGTAGAAATGTGCTCCAATGTAGAATGGCGCTTGATTACAGCTTTCATTTCTAGACTGTTTATATGGAGTTTGCATTCTTGCTGATTCCATAACCCTGATATCGTGTGGTTGGTGAGATGAGCTCCCCAACCTTGGAGTGACGCTCTACATACAGATGGGTTTGTATTCCTGCTCTGCTAAACAAATCCCTTCGCAGACATTCGATTTCTTGGTCCACCATAGTAGATGTGGTCTGAGATGTTTCGCAGACTGAATGGTTGTACATCGTTGAGATGTGCGCTGATGAGGACCTGTAGGGGCGTAACTGTAATCTGCCTGTGACAGTCATGTCTTGGGCTGATGTGAGAAGACCTAGTAGGCTCTGCCATTGTCGCAGTGGTAACGGAGAGAGTAGAGCTGGTGGAATGGTCTGTTGTATCTTGAGCCAACGGTCTTCTGGGTACCATAATACGGTTCGCGATTTGTGATGAATCGAATACCTAGGAACTGTAGGTCTTGGCGATGGTACTAGGTCCCACTTATGTAGTTTACTAACCAACCTAGTTGTGTTAGTAGCTTTATGATGTAGTTTAACTGTAGTTTGAGACGCAGTGGATCTTGATCTACTTGTATCCCGTCAGTCGAGGTAAAACGCACTCGCGTAGCCCTTGACGATGTAGAAATTTGATAATCGGTTTCGTTATCCTCGCGGAATAGCCAGGGGCTGATGATATTCGAATGGGAGTACTTTCCACTGGTAATGTAGCCCTTCTAGAGTAAATCGTAGGTATTTCCTGGAATCGGGATGAATGGGGATGTGCAAGTAGGCATCCTGTAGATCTATGCTGCCCATGTAGTCCATAGGGACGAATCATCTGGCGTAACTGAGGTAAATGTATCATCGCGAAACTTCGGTGGTTTGGCGTAGATAGTTCTTGTTGAAAAAGCTCATGTTGTAGATGAGTCTGTATTTCTCCGTGGAGTTTTCTTGGGAACTAGGAAAACTGGGGAGTAGAAACCTGGTTCGACGTTTGCTTGATCTATTACTTCTATGGCCTGTTTGGATAGGAGTGATGAGACAGCCTCTTTATCTTTAGTAGTTGTTGGCGCTTTGTAAATCGAACTTGGGGTTTGATTGTCACGAGGCTTGTCCTGTAGAGGATACTGAAATCTGCGTGTTGAATAATGTTGGAGGCGTAAGGATCTTGCAGTATTCCCCAGTTTTCCCAGTGTAGTTGGAGGCGTCCACCCACTTGAGCTGGATTTGTACTGGAACGGCTGGGGGGTGGAAGACTCCAGTCGTTCGAACCTGTGTTTCAGCGTCTATAATTGCGGGAACCTCTGGGTGTCCTGCCTCTTCCTGATCCTCCTCTATAGTTGCCATATGGGCGTGAAAAGAATCTTTACCTCTAGAGCTGGCTATCTTCCTGTCTCTTGCTCTTTGTAGACCCGTGAACTTAGATCTGCCTGAGTATCTTTGTGAAGTCTGACGAATGACGCTGGCTAGTGTGTCCATCGATCTAATCATAAGGACTTCCCTGGAATCCTTAGAGACTTCCTTAGCGACTTTATCGATTTCTCCGTCAAAGATGGATGTTGTCGACCACGGGGCTGTATAAAGTGGGGCTGTAAAGTTCTCCCCAATTACAGGAGGCTGAGGAGGCCTTGACGGCGAAGCTAAGGTCAGTGCTGCTGAAACAGATGTAAGATGATCCGTTAAAACTGCTGATCTTTCTTTGCATAAGTAAGGCAGAATAAATCATTCTATCATCTTCCGTCCGCGGAATCGAATCTAGTAATCAGAGTCTCATTGATCGTCCCTAGATCTATTTAACCCAAAGAACATACGTCGTCTCGTCATGGTTTCTATATGAGCCAACTTAAGGATCATCCATCTTGTAAATCTTGTTCTTTACATCGCTGATGATGATCTTATAGTTCTCATCGATGTCCTGGGCCCTTGTAGAAGGAGTCCATGTTATGCGTGGAGAACTTCTTGGCTTGAAAGTTGGGTAGATGTGGTATCTGAACTTTAAGTAGCTTTCTGGAAAGCTGCATCTAGATTCTGTGGCACTGTCGCAATCGGGTCGATCGGGGTAGTGATTGCATCTGGATCATCTTCCTTCATCAAATACGTCTGAGCTGTATTGCCACTTTTAGATGGTGATGTGAGATCTAGGTTATTGACCATCCAATACCGTATCTCTGCATCAGAAAATATGATTCCTCCATCATCCTCAAAACCATCATCATTAATAAATTGTAGATGCTCTTCGGGACTGCGTGTAGCTGTCTGAATATCTGATGAGGTTTGTGGCGATCTAGTTGACTTGTGCGCCGCTCTATGTGGAGATCTGATGGGTGATCGACCTGGTGATGAGCGGATTGGAGATCGCCTATGGGATGATCTTCTCGAGACTTGTGAGGTGAATGTTGATAGCTTCGCTGAAGCTCTTCGGCAGTCCCTCGATGTTCTTCTAGACGATGAAGATCTGGAATCATATGTCTTTCGCGAATGCCTTCGCGAAGCTTCATTTGCGTCCGGTCCGGGGGATCGATGATATGACCTTCGCGAAGGCTTCCGTGATGTCTGATGGTCTGAGTCCATATCTAGAGATGAAATCGAAGATGGTGATGATCTCTCCCGCCTTCGCGAAGGCCTTCGCGAAGGCTGTACATCTAGGTCCTTCGTCAAGGTGGTGCGGGACTTCCTTCGCGAAGGTGACATCGTCTTGGCTGCTACGTTGACGGGGGGTGCCTCTGGGGTGCTGTCTACGTTGGAGCCTTCGCGAAGGCTCGGACCCTGCTAGCAGTTTGTAGTGGTCCTCCATGATGTTCATAATCTGCGCATCATGTCTTCTGGGATGATCTGTGGCGAAATCGCCGGCGCTCTTTTCTCTTGATGGGGTTCACATCAATGGCGCCTGACGTCGGTGTAGAGGCATCAGGCTGCATGGAGATCTCTGCAGAAGTCACAATTAAGCTGACACCGGGTCAGCTTCTTCTGCCGTAAGTCGGGATGATTATCGGCTGATCATCGTAGAGGCCCAACTCTGCTGCTGGAACGATCTCGGCTGAGAAAGTTCTTGCTGTCTTCGTAGATTTCCCTTTGGAAGTCTGCGCTGCCCTGGGTGTCCTCAATCTGCGTTGAGACGACGATGAGGCCCTCTTAGATTTAGTCTGCAATGGCGGGATGTCTGGGAGGCCGGTCGTTTTCTTGAGGTAGCGGACTGCGTCCCACGTTCCTCTGCCGCAGGGGTCTCTAGCAGAACACCAGGCGGGGAGAGGGTCGATCGCTAGCAGCTGACTGGAAGGAATATCTGGACTCTCTGCCATGTTTTGCCCTTGTTTGCGTGATCTATCTGCAGCACGTCTTAAGACGCAAAGATGATATTTATTAAATGCAGAATGAGATAAATTAATGCAGTAACTGCAACGTGAATTAAGCGCACGCAGTAGAACAACTAGGGCATATTACATGTGGATCGGAGGCAGAAAAGCGTAATCTACAAATCGTACAGATTTTCATGAACGTAAAGCTAGCTGAACAATCACGCGAATACACGATGAATAAACAGTAGAAATAACGATTTCCACTATGTTCAAGCAAGAAGAAGAAGACAAGCAAAAGAGCATGAGTCAGGATAAGGAAAAATTAAGAAAATGGAATCATCACTGCCACCTGAAGTTACGCTCGTGTTCATTTCTTTTTAGCCAGAAGTTTTTGTCACTGTCATAAGGAAGTATTCTTTGTTTATCAAATGATCAGCACCGGATTGTTTACGTCAATGAGCAGATTCATTATCAGCAAAACTTAAGAATTCTATGACGGTTACCATTATCTTTTCCACGGATACATGTGTACAATCAAACATGTTGTATCGGACATGTTATAATCGGATCTCAGTAATCGATCAATAGTTGACTGTTATCATAAACCCCATCACACAACTCATGTGGGCAATTACTGGGACACAATCATAGCGAGTGAGTGAGTTGGGTTTTATGCCGCTTTTAGCAATATTCCAGCAATATCACGGTGGGGGACACCAGAAAATGGGCTTCACACATTGTACCCATGTGGGAATCGGAACCCGGATCTTGGGCGTGGTGAGCAAACGCTTTAACCACTGAGCTACCCCACCTCCCTGGGACACAATCATAACACTGTGCAAACGAAACAGGCACTGATTAATACCACAATTGAGGATACTTCCTGTTGAGGCATACACGTGACTGTCTTTCACATTACAGTTTGACAGGCTGCATTGGTTATCTTGATAAAACAAACATAACAATAAGAAACATACTTTCTACAGTCTACATTTGATGTTTTATTTATTATGAATATCAATTCATTGCCCGAGCTCAAACATAATTGATGATGCAGGCGAGACCGATCGATTGACCATTATTTGATTAATCACTCCAGCACTAGTTGTATGTTTAAACATATTAAAAGTTATCTGAACATGTGAGCGATACATCCATAGGTCGGAAAGACTTTAGCCTATATCCCCTCTTAACACTTTTTTCTCACATCGTCGAAAACCCCTGACACCCCAGCTAACATCACATAACTGGGCCAATGCTGGCCATGTAAAGTCAGAAAATCAGGCCCATTTAAGGCATTCCGGAACTCGGCCTGTACTATTTTCCACATTGGCGTTGAACTGGACCAGTACAGGCAAAGAAGTATGGCCCAGTACACAGCCGTAACGGTTGCAAATTGGCCCTTTACAGTTTGGCCGGCACTGGCCCGGTTAAGTTTAATACAGTTTCTACTATTTAAAACAAGCTGATACCAAAATAAACCCTGAAAGAAAACAAGTTAATCCATATGAGTTTAATTCATGAAAGAAGATGACATGATGCATTATTCTGTCATTGATTCTTGGCCTCGAACTCAGGTTCCTCCTGTGTTCTGGGCCCTGATTTCTCGCGTCTTTTATGTCCCCCATTCCTGTCCGAAAAATGGAATAATTTACCATCACATCCATCAACTAACTCATCCTCATTCTCACCATTATTATCATCGTCATCATCATCGTCAAGTGCAACAGCATCATTAGCATCATAATAGTTATCATCATCACTGTCATACATAGCGTAACCACTGGGGAGACTAAGAGATTCAGATATTTCAGTTGTGCCATCATGCACCTTTTCGTCTAGTTCAGTATTTTCTTCACGAATTCCCAATGTATGTAATTTTGTTCTGGGTGATCTTGTTCAAAGAAGTTTCAAAATTCAATTCTTATGATAGTCTCTTTCTGAAGTATTTTCAAATTTTCGTTTGCTTTTGATTCAATGTTTCGACGTTTTGTCCATTATGACATGATTATCAAGCAATACTATAATTAAGGTTATCCGTGATCTAACAACATGACATACATACTGAATGTTTCAAAATGCCCTTGTCCCAGCAAAATTCATACTGAATGTTATTGTTCAAAATTTAACACTTAACCTTGGTTGAAAAAGTAGTCTCCATAAGTGATTCACAGCAAATATCGTTACTTTTTAGTGTCACATTAAGTCAATTTACATTCAAAAATGTTGAAAACGTCACAATCTACATTTTGGCCGCTTCTCTTGAGCAGACGACATGGTCCTGAGATAATCTCCCACAATTCAACAGACAGGAAATGCACTGCCTGTACTGGGCCATTACTTGGCCGGTACAGGGTACAGTACTGGGGTGCAGTATTTACGGTAACCACCCAATATATGGCCCAGTACAGTTTTGCCTGGGACGGACCACTAATGGAAAACAAGCATTGATCCAGTACTTGCTCTATACTGTCGTACATTATGCCAGTACCAACGGTACAGGCCAGAACGATGCCAGTACTGGACCAGTTATGTGATGTTAGCTGGGACCGCATCGCGACTCTCGCCGTCTCGGCTAATGATCTGGTGAACTAGTCTGGTCACAATTACATTTACTGATCACATAAACAGTGTGAATTGCACTTGAAACCTGGCAGAAAACTGCGTTAGTGATATATGCAGGTTTGACAGTTTCGATTCTCAGCTAGCATGGAGCACCCCTACTCATTGTAACTCAGGCTAAGTGTGCTAATCAAGTGAAGTTTGAATAATATTTTCGAAAGTCCAAAACGTACCTCCACCATAATGCAGCCACCGATAGTAAAGGCCGTAAGGGAAGAGCCTCTTGTAATACATGGGCAAAAGGTCAGGCAACGAAGCAGGATCATAATTGTGTTTTTTATCTCCCATCGTTATTGTTGACATCTAGTTCTCTTTAGCGGTACGAAATCTCCCGCCAAATGGTCAGTTTACGGCAAAACTTCCGTTCGATGCATTATTATCACATTAAATCATCAAATTGACAATTTAAACCACAGGAATACAGAATAACAATAAAAGCCTGGTGGTAGCTCTCACAGAATTATTCAAGAAATCATTTAGTTGTCGTAACAGACAGTAACATTTCACATGCGGCAATATTGTTAAGTCTCCCTACAGAAATGTTCATAGGGTTCGCTATGCCAAAACCACTGTTAAAATCTTGAAACGTAGTTCAGAGTTTGGTAAATTACCCCTCCCACATTTCCGGGTTTGGACAAGATTGTGTTCCATGGCATTATCACAAGATCACACTTAAATGGCGATTTTGTAAGTGATAGCTAGTTTTTGTACCCACTGACTGGAATCATGAGTTAACTGAAATTCAGCTTGATTTTGTTTGTTTACGCAGATCTTTCTTGGTTGGTAAGCGTGTCAAGGGGAATGAACTCTGTCACGACTCTTGTTCAGATTGCACATCTGTAAGATTTGATCGTTTGTACACTTGTGAAATTTACATTAAATAGTAAGATACATTAATCACCTCATACGGCCCCAATTGTTACTAATTCAGTTTATAATATACTTATTTGAAAACATTTCTTCAGCTTTTATAATGAAATTGTATCCACCCATAGGGCCTTACAGTGAAATTCCATTGTTTTTTTGTTTAGCCTACCTACCAATTTGTTATAAGAACTTCGTTTAATTGCCCAGAAAATGTCATGATCTTTACATCACAATTTGATGCATCCAAATCCCTGAGAAGAAGTACCAGATATATGTATGTCTTACTTTGACGCAGAATGAAACAGGGTCTAAAACTAAAACTAGTTATGGTGACTTAGAAAAATGGGGATCCAGGGGAGCGCCAATTATGAATATTTTGGCTATTTGCAAGCATAACGAGGGTCCAAAAAAGTATCAGAATGGTGTAGTGTAATGTAGTAGGTTTAGATAATGACATTAAAGCCGTGAATGAACCAGTGATCACGGATTAAGATAAATTCAGTCAAGATGTTCTTTATACAGTCAAAGCATATTTTGGGTTAGATTTATGAAACACAATACCAATTAGGTATTTTGAATCTGGTCTTCCAGACTTCAATCAAATAAAGTTTTAATGCTAAAAAGGGTTAATTAATGATTTGGATCAACCAGAAACAGCAACGCTAATCATGGAGACAATTAGTCCAGCATATAACTAGACAACTTTGCACTATACCAAGGTGTGCTCGATGTAGGCATTGGCTGGAATACGAGTTTATTCATATGAACTAGGAGACAATATCCTTCTTACAGTCAAGCATGACACTAATTCCACTTACACATGTGCTGCAAATACAAACGTGTGTCATGTAGCTCAGTCACTATTTCAACAAAGTATTTTCTGTATGACTGTATCCTGTTAGTTTTAGACCCTGTTTCATGAACTATCATAGCCAGCAACTGTAAGTTAGGCAACTTGAGGGTAGATACATCCTAGGGGCACAGTTGTAGGGTCATGTAGCAGCACCTTCTGGCTGGTGAAGGGTCATTGGGGTTTGCCCAGTGGTTAAAGCGTTAGCTCATCATGCTGAAGATCCGGGTTTGATTCCCCACATGGGTACAATGTGTGAAACTAAATTCACTCATTCACTCTGGCTGTCACCTCACCTCACCTCACCTCACCTCACCTCACTTCACCATGATTCTTAATTATTTCTTTGTTATTTATCTATAATTCCAAACTAAATGCCCACTAAAAGCACACTGGAACCAAACTAGGATTTTTCAGTATAGAACTTTAAAATATTTTTTTAACAATACATTAATGTCATACCTCACAATATGACCTTTTCTTCTTTATTGGCTCTGCAACATTAGTTAAACCAAAATTAAAATGAATTTGGAAATCTATTGTGCCATTTTGGTAAATTTTATGCTGTACAATTTTGCTGCAGGTGTAAGTATGTCCCAGAAATTATTGCAGTTTTTTTATGTTGTTGGTATACTAGAGAGCTTGCTTGATTTTGTCGATTTTAGTGATGGATGTTATCTATCTAGTATATCTTCACTCATATAAATGTGGAGATGTTTTTCAGGTTTCATACATTTGTGAAAGAAGGGCCAATTGTCAGAAGTCAGATGACAATAACGCGTGATCAATGAATAATAATTCGTATGTGTAGAAAGCTGAGATCTAAGTCAAATATTTTCTCAGTTAACTACTGTCAAAGGATATATAATAGGATATATCAGTAGAATACAATAGAGCCTTTTGAAATCTGTCATACATATCTATCTCACTCCACCATCTCTCCACAACAGAAGTGTTTTTAAAAGTGCCACATAAAAGGAGAGTTTAAAAGGCTGTCCAATTTGGTAATATCCTGTTTTACAAATGTCACCAGACCTGTGTTGGCCTTGGACAGGCTTAGTGATAGTTAAACAAATGTTGATGGATATATGTTCAGGTCAGTTGGTAAACAGGTCATATGTCAGTTCCCATTGTTTGCCCGATCTGTCAGTATTCAAGGGTTGAAGGTGAATTGTAATGGATATCAACTCGGTTGTTGACAGACAATTCATATTCAACATGATAAGTAGCTTCTCCATTAAGCTCTCACAACCAGCTTCAAGACCATTCTTTTTAGCAATCTAAATGATATTAAACTAAGATGAAAAACTTACTTGACAGTGTTGACTGTCCGTGTTTGTTATCATCATCATCACCACAACCACCTTCTTTTTCTTCCTCTTCTTCCTCTTCTTCTTCTTCTTCTTCTTCTTCATCAGAGGTGTTGGTATAGCCTTATGGTTAAAGTGTCTGCTTGTCACGCGGAAGACCTGGGTTCAATTCCCCACATTGGATCAGTGTGTGAAGCCCATTTCTGGTGTCCCCCTGATGCGATATTGCTGGAATATTGCTAAAAGCGGTGTAAAACTAAACTAAACTCACTCACTCACTCACTCACTCACTCACTCACTCTTCGTCATCACCAACGCCATCATCTTCATCATCATGCACAACAGAAATATACATTTAAATCCAGGTTTTCCCTAATCATCATCATCTTCTTCTTCTTCATCATCAGGGGCGGTGGGTTAGCCTAATGGTTAAAGTGTCTGCTTGTCACGCGGAAGACCTGGGTTCAATTCCCCACATTGGATCAGTGTGTGAAGCCCATTTCTGGTGTCCCCCTGACGCGATATTGCTGGAATATTGCTAAAAGCGGTGTAAAACTAAACTCACTCACTCACTCACTCACACTTCGTCATCACAATCGCCATCATTATCATCATCATGCAAAACAGAAATATACGTTTGAATGCAGGTTTTCCCAGATTTTGTTTTGAGGTTTGCAAACACCATAGTCTCACCCATGTAGTAGGACACTCTAACCTGCATCACATAAGACGTTCATCTCACATTAAGATGACTCTCTGTGATATGACAAGGATATAGTTGAAAGCAGCGTTACAACTCACGCACACACCCACCCACCCACTCACTAACTCACTCAGTTAAAATGATCATTACCAACTTTGATGAATTTAATATAATAAGTTCTACTGATTTGCTTTCCTCCAATTGCTAAGTTATTTATTTGCATCCAATTTCAGCTATTACCATACTTACTGTTGATCGAAATAGCAACCCTATCCAATTATAAGACCAGTCTGTAAGTAATCATGCAGAACATCCCCTCCAAAGACTAAAATTTACATAATAATCCATATGATCCTGTGTATTTCCATACAGAGAACAAAAGTGCTGAGGGGTAGACGTTGTCTTGTGGCTATAGTCGAGCACCGTTGTGTCGAACTCTGATAACTCGACATCTCGGATGTCTCGATATAACATCTCGGTCCCCGCAAAATCCTTCATAACTTATCATTATTCATGCTCTTTTAACTCGATACTGATGTCTCGATATTTCGGATATCTCGATATAATTTGATGGTCCCAACATGCAAATTACCCTATTAGTATTAACTCGATATTTGCAAAGAAACTTGATATTCACCTACCTGTCATGGGCAAGTATCATTCTGAACTGAGGTTGTTTCCACACGTTTACACACGGTGTGGCATGAATCAAAGGGATGTGGTAGTGTAAAATAATTAGGGCTAATTGAGTTGAAGGTGTCACTTGTTTGTTATTTAAAGGTCACATGCAACCAAAAAATCAAACATAATTAAAACACAATTATAACTTCTTCATGACATATAATATGCATTGCTGATTATGAAAAAACAAATAAACAAAATTATAAGCGTATAATCGCAAATCAAAAGTGCAATATTTTGTACTTGGGTTTACCTCCCTCGAAACGAAGCAGCCGGGATACCGAACCTAGTCAGAGCGGGTGGGTGTGCACTCAAGTGTAACGGCTGGTTCATTAGCAGATGCTGCCTTCACGGCTCATTGTGTGTGTATATATAGAGATGTTGGGTTTTGTAAATACATGCTCATTTTTTGTGTATAACATTTTGCAATCAACAGACATCATAACATGTCATGTGTTCAAGTATCACACCTGCCTGTCTGTGTAATTACATAATGTCACAGAGACCGAACACGGGCCATAAATCAATGCGATTTGTTTATGGTGTATAGCCTGATTGGTGTTAAGTTCAAATTGCATGTGGTCAGTGATCGCAGTTGTGTATTGAATATTGTCATTAGCAGACAGGCAGGCAGACACACAGGTGTCAATAAAACAAGACATTGAGTTTTGTCTGTGACAGCGACATATCTATATCACAGTTAGAAATTGTGTCAACGCTAAATAATGACATTGCTTTTAGTATCGAACTGAGAAAGTGACTCGGTAAGGAGAACGTGTGGTGAAATAGACAAATGAAATTATATAAACAGTTAATTTACTGTCATAACATATAAAAAAGCTCGCACCTGTGAGATTTCAACAAAACATTATGAAAATAGCTCACACCAAAGCCTTCACCGAGTCTTCACCAGAAAGCCCGCTTCCAAGTTGCGCGAACCTATTTCACTG